ACCATGAGAATGTTATTATTCATTTTGATATGGTTGGCTAACAACAACGGATATTTATTGCAGAGTTATCGAGAAATACATCTAGGAAATGAAGATGTGGTAAATCCAAATCTAAATTTAAATTTTTTAAAATGTTTTGCTGACTCCATAATGGACAACGACTTGTTAAAGTTTTTGGGTGAAAGCCAAGAAGTTCCCCAACTTGGGGAAGACCTGCTAGAATTAACGCCATCTTACGATCATGGCAAAAAACTTAAGATGCTTAAAAGGCTGTTACAATTTATGAATAACCATAAAGCTTCAAGCCCTTATAACAAAATTTATATAAATTGTCTTGACCAGACCTTGAAAGATGGTGAGAATCTTCAACCGGAGATGTTTGCGATACACAAAAAATCGCCCATTAAAAATATGTTAGAATCTTATGATATAACTCCCGATTACGCGAACGATCAACCAATCAGTGACAAATTAACGTGTCATCCCATACCCAAGGACGATTTCGACAAAACCATATCGGCACTATGGCTCTCGTCTATAAGCAGGACCGGGACTACGGATGATCACATATTTTTCTTGCCTGATGAGATGAGATTTTTACAAAACATGAAACGGAATGCGGGGGATAACCAAGGTACCAAGAATCCCAGCGCGGATCAATCGACAAAAATTTTATCCTTCAATAAGTATTTAAATAATAATAAACGGAACAAATACTACACGAAAAGATCCACTCCAGACCATGATAGCCAAAGAAATGATTCGATCTCTGAAACTGATTCGAGAGACTTTTTGGCCCACCTATACTCCGATATGATGCAATATGCCGGTGATGACAGGGTCAAAAAAAAGAATACCGACGAAACGAATATCAAAAACCGATATTTGCACGTCTCCAAGCGCTCTTTCTGTCCTTGGGTGTATATCAATAACACCGATGTCAATAGATGGCCTAGAAGATTTATAGAAGTCGAATGCTCTCACAAGGCTGGCACCGAATGCGGTGGGAGACCCGATCATGCAAACATTAAACGTGGTATGGATACCCAAAAAATTGGGAAAAGCGAATGCCAACCTGTTTATTATGAAGCGAAAGTTATCTATTTAGAAGTAGATATATATATTATTATATTCAAATTTATCCTTTTAAATTGAATTTGTATTTATCTAAATGGAATCATGAAATTATTTAATTTAATGATAAAGTAAGTCAAACATAAATTGATAATCGGGGTGACTTTAGTGACTCTAATATAGGCTTCGTTTGATGATGTTTATAGGTTTAGTATAATAATATATTTTATCGACGAATATAGGATTAGGAAGTTTTTTAAAATTTTTTTTCTTTCACTTTCTACCAAGTATAAAATTAATAATTAATCGGGTACAAATAATAGAATATCATTATTAAAATCCAGAATTGATCATAAAAAAAATAGTTTTGATCAGTAAAATGTATATAATTTATGAGGTAAACAATACTTGTTTATAAACTTTAACTGATAATGAAGTCATTTTGGATGCCCTTCTGCCTCCATCATGGGGCAAATATTTTGCTGTAGTGAACCTCTTGGAATAGGTGTTAGGGCATTTGAGATAAAAATAAGTTAGAAAGATATTGGTTTGATTAAACTATAAATTTCGGGGGAGGGAGACTGCAAATTATGCAGGTAAAAATTATTTTTATAATATTAAATTCAGTTTTATATCTTTTCTTATACTAATAAACAAGCCATTTAAATAAAGTTACTTTGATATGAATTAATAGATAATATAAGATATTATTTAATATTATAATAGATGATTTTAAATATTTTATTGTATTTTTTAAAAATCCTATTTTCAAATTTACATTTTAACAATTAAAGACTAAAATATATAGAAATCAAAAAATAATTTTGGGTCAGTTTTGAAAAATAAATTAGACATTTTGTAATCTCAAAATTTAGATATAATTGATAAGATATTATTTAATATTATAATAGATGATTTTAAATATTTTAATGTATTTTTTAAAAAATCCTATTTTCAAATTTACATTTTAACAATTAAAGACTAAAATATATACAAATCAAAAAATAATTTTGGGTCAGAAAAATAAATTAGACATTTTGTAATCTCAAAATTTAAATATAATTGAATGAATTTATTGGTTATTTTAATATTATAATAGATGATTTAAAATATTTTAATGTATTTTTTAAAAAATCCTATTTTCAAATTTACATTTTAACAATTAAAGACTAAAATGTATAGAAATCAAAAAATAATTTTGGGTCAGTTTTGAAAAATAAATTAGACATTTTGTAATCTCAAAATTTAGTTATAATTAAATGAATTTATTTATTGGTTATATTAATAATAATAAGATTATTTAACTGGTTAATATAATTAAAGTTAATTGAGTAAAAATTATTTACAAATCAATTAAAATACTTGGGGGAAAAAAATATTAACTGGTAAGTGGTAAATCTATTTTTAAGTACCGTAAAAAACATATATTTACTGGAAATTTTATGTAATCATAAGATACTTAGATTATTATTATTTATACTTTTAAATTAATATAATACTATTAATTTTGTTAATTTTCTGGGAAAAAAAATTTCATTTACACATTATTGCTTATTTTATTTATAATTTTGGCAATTTACTTATTTAGAAAACTTAATACTACAAATCCTATGCTTAAGTTAATATTGATAAGATTACTTTAAATTTTTGTTGCCCATCTCATCTCATCTCACCTTAACTTAAAATAATAAATAAAAATTAGACCGAGAGGTCAGCGCAGTTTGACCGAAGCTAAGTCCGGACGACGGACTGGTCTTGACAAAATGTTCATAATATTTTTATGCGTCGGGCTTGGTCGAAGTTTTGGTATTTTTTTAAAACTAATAATTCGACCAATTTGTGTTGTTGTTTTTCTTCATAAATTATTACTAAGCGGTGGGCTGTGTAAAATAAATTAAAGACCGAGCTTTAAAACCCGAGAGAAAATTTTACGACCCGGTTTTAGCCCAGATCGCTCCTACCTCAAATTTAAATTATGCCGTTTAAACTGACTTTGAAATTCCTTTATTGTAATAATCTAATCGAATAACCATTTTATGATATTTATTTTTTTTATATAAAAAAAAGCCTTGCCACCCCCCTCAAAAAAATCCAAAAATGAGGTATGTGATAGTTAAACCAAGTTTGCTACCTTTAAAAATGGCTTGCGTTTGCACTTCCAAGAGAATATCTGACGTGGGAAAGAAGCATGATTCTGTTTACATTAAAGAAAAGTTCATAAATTGGGATGAAGATATTCCGAAAGAACGACCCATGAAAAGGGGATATGATCCCAAAAAGTTTATAAAAGTCTATTATGACGATGGAAATGCCAAATATTACGATTAATCTCGTATTTAAATATTTTTGATGTCGTAGATGTTATTTATATTTGTAGGCGATATAGAAAAAAAATATATATTAAAGTAATTTTGTAATTTAACTTATAAAATGTGTTGTGAAGTATTATATTGAAAGATATTTTTTGATATTCTGTAATATAATTAATTGTACATTTACACAAACATATATGTATGTATTATTAATAAAATCAAAATCTAATTTAGTTGTATGTAAGTGTAGATGGCTACTTATAAAAATGTCCTATCGAAATTTTTTTTTAAAAGATATGTTTATAAAATTTGAAGAAAAAACCTTTTATTTTTAATAAAATTTTTGTTAAATTGTATTTTTTTATAAAAAAAAATTGATTTGTCTTTAAATTAATTTCTTCCCATAATTTATCTGAATTATCATCTTGTAATGTTGCATTTAGCAATTTTTGTTCAAAATTTTTATTTTCTTTTTAAAATATTTTGCAAAATGTAATTACGAACATTGAAATTTCGGGGTTTTAAAACTAATTATATTATACTATCAAAATGATTGTTTTTAGTTATTTTAAAGTATAGATACTTTATGAAACAATATAATAATAATCTTTTTAAAATAAAAAATAGATTTTACGCATTCACAATTTCAAAAATCTAATAAAATCTTTAACCTGAATAGATTTTTTTTTAAAGATCATACCGCCCAACACATTTTATCGCCTATTTATTATTGTTTAAAAATGGCATCACGACCGTGTCACCGTTTGGAATATTATTAAACAGCGGTCTGATGAGCCGTTTATTTAACTTCCTCTAAACAGGCAAGGTATTATGATTTACGTCTTTGTTCTACCTGTATATCCAAAAAAATATACAAATAACAAAGTCATATTTATTTAATGTAAAAACTTAAAACAAACCAGAGTAGGGTATCACAGCTCTAAAGGCTGAATGTCCTGAGGCATACAGAAATAAGTTTCAAATATAATCCATGCATGGTATAGATATTTTCACAGCTTGTCTATAATTCATAACGATTGGGCAGGGAAGATTACATGGATCTTTCACTAATGTGAGTCAAAAAATAAATATGTAGGTATTAGATACCTAATAGCTTAGGATTCTATAATTTAACGAATATGCTAGTATATCTTGTAGATATAATGAGTAAATTTAACCGGTAAGGCGAATAGCTTTGGGAATTTTAAAGTATAGGATGATACTTTTAGTATTTGTTTAAAATGGAGCAAAAAAATATATTGCTTACAAATTTTCTTTAGATTTGGAGCATATTGAACTCTTGAAAATTAACTAACTAATTGCATTTATATTCTCATCTGGTGCTAATTCTTATACTTTGTGAACAATGAAAGATTTTACGTTTGCAATAGTAGTGATTCTTTATTTAAACATTGTTAATACATTTGGTATAAAATATTATATCTAAATAACATATCAGAACAAATATTATATAATGTTATTATTAGATTCGTATAGTTATATTGTAATAAGTCCTGAAATATGATATATTTTCAAAATGTATTTTTTTTCTTCTTAGTTTATGTATAAATTAATGTAAACAAATATATAATCGATGGTTATTTTGGCATATTTTTATTTGCCGCATACAACGCATGCTATTTCTCGTCCATCTGGATAGGCCGAACATGGGAGCGCTCCACATTTGACTTCAACAATATGCAACGCACTCCCTCCTATATCGCCCTTGCGTTTTCCTCCCTCGTAACTTGCGTCTGGGGTTCTGTCGATACAAATGTATTGGGACCGAGAAAATCTGTTACTCAGAGACATGAGATAACCGGAATACTCCTTGACCATGTCTGAAATATAGTGAAAATAATTTTTGAGTCATATAATAACTTTTAATGCAAAAGCTGTGAGAATTCTCATAAATTGAGGACATAGTGAATTAAGGTATCAAAACCAATATCCGGTAATTTTAACAAATGCATATCGGTTAGCTGTTCTTTTCAATTTGTTCCGATTTTTATAGGTTTTGGATTTTTGGAACAAATAACCATCCAAAATAATCTAATAAAAAATATTTAAAAAATTTTTAAAAGTAAAAATAAACAAAAATTATTTTTTGTTTTATAAACAGTGAAAAAAAATATAAAAAAAAATTTTGTATACTATTCAAAAATTATTAGCGTAATTTGAAATATTATTAAATTTAAAAAAACATTATGAACCGGTTGAAATCGGTTCAAAAGCTTTAACAATGGTCCGATTCTCTCATATGCAAAATTTTTATAACAGTTCAGTTAAGGTTACTATTGAGAAATTATTTTCAATTTTTTTTGGTTCGACACCAGTGTAAATATCCCATTCTTTTACAATCTTAGCTTAATATTTCTAAAATAGTCCTCCTAATTATTTTCATTTTTTAAAGGTTTGTAAAAGTCTATTATTAATTTAATACAATTAATAACTTTACTATATACGCACTTTTAGGACATTCCTTTCGTCCGGGAATCATGACATGTGTACACATATGGAAAGTATAGCATATAGCGCAGACGGCTTGCTGTCCTTGTAAAATTCCGACAGGTGTAATGAAGGGACTGGATTTAGTGTGCAATCTATACTCCGCCCCATATAAACCAGCCAAGGGTTGGTCGTTGGGCCCCGAAAATCCCGCTATATATCTATTAATAATTGTTGTCGTGGAATTTATATGGCATATATTTTTAATTATGCTATGAAATTTATTAAGTTGTTCTTACCCCTTAAGTTCCGGATTTTCTGGTAAACACAGGTAATTGTGACCTCCTCCAGGAAATTCATCAGAGAAGTGTCCACCGGCGATGTATCCAGTGTAAAGAATTTGAGCCCGTGTATTAGAGTCTGCGCAGGTTTTGCTGCCCCAGTGAATGTAATTAGAACCGCCACATAGAGCTTATTGTATATCAATTGTTTGAATTTATAATCGTGTAAATAAAAATATATTCCAACAAAAAAAATTAGCACATATTAATTTATTTAATACAACAAAACTTACACATGACGCGGGCATCTGCTGTGCATTGTGTCTTACAGGATCCAGGCGAACCCGGAGTCCCCAAAGGACCATCCCTTCCGATATTTCCTGAGGGACCGGATTCACCGTCTCTGCCTGCCTCTCCGTCCGGACCTTTTTCTCCGTCTTTTCCAGGGAACCCAGAAAGTCCAGACTCACCTCTTGCGCCAGGCGCGCCGATTTGTCCGTCAGCACCTGGTCTGCCTTCGTTTCCAGATCTTCCATCACGGCCAGGCTCACCCGATGCTCCTGTCTCGCCAATAAGTCCTTGGGATCCGTCTAATCCTTTTGGTCCGGGTCTTCCATCAGCCCCCGGATTGCCTGACTCTCCGGGCAAGCCAGGAGATCCTTCTCTTCCTGATTCACCACCTATTCCATCGAATCCTGGATTACCGTCAGATCCCGGTTTTCCATCAAATCCTCTTTCTCCGGCTGGTCCGTCTTTGCCATTTAGACCGGCTTCTCCGTCCTTGCCCTTTTCGATAATTAAATAAATGCTTTTATTGGAAAAATGTAATGATCGATAAATCTTTTTTTCATTTGCATTAAACAATATTGTATTTTTATAAATTTTTCTATCATATTTGACTTATAAAAAAAATCAACTCTCGTTTTAAGTGACTAGGTAAGACTAAGAGTGGCTCTTACACCCCCTAATCACTTAAGCAAAATAGTTCCCACCACCCACCCGGAAAATATAACCACTTAGCCCTCCACCCCCTTTTTACTACCAATTTCCATAATTGACTTTTCTTAAATTGAATTTTTATATCCTTTAAATTAAGAATAGTAGTAGAAAGCATACATTTATAAAATTGTCTTAGTGTAATAACATTCAAAAATATTCAATTTTTGAAATAATAACTTAATATTTTTCTTGGTTAAAGTTAAGAGATGAATGTTTTTTTGCATGATCAGTTTATTCATTGATTTTTTTTTCTTTGTAAAATATGAACGAATGAAGTTGAAAGATATATAACATTGTCGTTTGTAAATTTGAAATGCAAAAATATATTTTAGTTCATTCATTTTTGAAATCTATATTATTTTTTTAATTTGGCACCATAATCGATTACACAAATGTAAAATCGTACAATTTAATCTCTAATATCTTATGAAAGGTATAAATTTAGTTAAAATATACAGGAACATCATATTTTTTTAAAATTTATTTTATTCTATTTAGAATCACCATAAAAAATAATTTTTCATCATAATTGTAATATTTTAAAAATTTTACTAAAATGAATTAACCTAACAAATTAAGGATTAACTCAAAGAAAATTATTTTTTATCACATGACCTGTCATATTTAACAAATCATTAATAAAAATGATTAAATTTCATCAAAAAACCATTTTTTTGATATATCCTAACTAACCCACATATCTCTCAAATCTTTAATTAACCTATATCTGTCTAACCTTTAATCCTACTTAATTGCTTAACTTTAAATATATTTCATCCAATTAAGATATCTCCTTGAGTTGCAGATTCCCTTAATTGGGTTATTTAACCATAATATACTGGTAAAATTTTATAACATAAAATGAAGTCCTCTAAAATATAATAAAATTTCCACAAAAAATGTTGAAAAAAAAGAAAAGGTTTTGAATAGTTTACATTTTAAATATTCTTTATATTTAATTTTAGCATAGCTGTATATTATGTAAATGTTATTTTTAATAAATTTTTTTTAAAATAAATCTTGTGAACCCTTAATTGAATCGGGTTTGGGGCCAGTAAAATCCCTAGGGTTCAAAGGTTTCTGGTTAGAGGTTCAGATTCACAACCTTGATATACAATTGCTTCAATTATGCCCTACCCCTCACCGCAAATATTTCGTACCCTGATGTAGATATTTCAAAATCGAATTAATTTTACGATTTTAATATTTATATCTTGCAGCGCAATAAGAAAATGAACCTTCTCCTATTCTCCTATTCTAACATGATAATTAATTTTTAAAGATGGTGTGTCCAAAATATCAAAAAAAATTAAATTTACAAACTTTGGAAACTTTAATAAAATATAAAATAAAAACAAGATTCTAAAAAATTAAACATTATGATTTCTTTACAATCTTAAAATTCGCAAAATATTTGAAAATTTCCGAATTTTTCAAAAAAATTTGGACATGATCTAAATTAATTGAACGATATTTTAAAAACTATTTTACACTTATTCTTATTCCTATTTGATATAAGAGATTTTAAGTCTAACGCTTCATTTATAGTAAGTGCGATTTTCTCCAGTGATTCAATTAAACGCTAGCGAAATCACAGCTGATTCGTGACAGCTATAATACTTTTTGGAATATAGGTATAAACAGCTGTCACAATTCCATCATTTCGCTCCATATATATAATTAACACCTTTATTGGCCTGCCTTTGTAAATTACAATTTCGCAACGCTTGGCACTTACCATAAAAAATGAACCAAAGAATGTATGAAATTTTCGATTATAGATTTAAATAGTAATATTTTGATTTTATTTTCAACTGCCAATTTTCTAAAAAAAAGTACTAACTGTATTTATAATCCTGGCTAATCTCTTAAAGAGTTAAGAAAATTTTTGTGTAATTGATAAAAAAAATTACTGGTTGTCCATCTTCACCAGGTCTACCATCTTGACCAGGGAAGCCATCTCGCCCTGGTTGACCATCTCTACCAGGACTGCCAGAATTTCCATCTGCACCATCAAGACCGGGTATACCTGGAAAACCCTTTGAAATATTATTTATAAATAGTTTTTATAATTTCTTCATTTTACTTATATGTATTTATTAAATTTTGAAAATATTTTTAAAGACAAAAAAATGGTTTCATTTTTAATATAATTTATATTTCATTATTTTTTTAAAAAGAAAGAAAAATTGAAAATAATCTATGGGTTAAGCTTGTTGATGTCTCAAAACTAAGTAATTTATCTAAATAACTTTCGCTATAATATAACTTAAAAATAAATATTTCTCACCTTTTGCCCATTGCTTCCAAATTTTCCGTCAGGTCCAGGGTTACCAGGGCGTCCATCTTGTCCTTGAAAGCCGTCCTTACCGAAAGAACCGGGTTTACCATCTAAACCAGGGGCCCCGGGAGATCCCGGATTTCCATCTGGCCCGGGAATACCGTCACTTCCCGGGAAGCCGTCTCGACCTTCATTACCATCTGATCCAGGTTGCCCTGGTTGACCATCCCTTCCAGGATTTCCAGCGTCGCCTGGAGGACCAGGTGATATGACACTACTTCCGGGGTTACCATCGATTCCAGGTTGGCCTGGTTCACCGTCATTTCCGGGCAATCCATCATTACCTGCTGGGCCGGATTGGCCAGCCACACCCTTTGGACCGGGAGTTCCTTTAGCTCCAGGGGTACCGGCTTTACCTGGGTTACCCGGGGCACCATCTAAAATATCGTTACCATGTATACCAGCTATGCCGTGTATACCTTCATCAGCTGGAATTCCATCGTTACCGGGTAAGCCCTATAAAAAAAATGTAATATATTATTATAATCATATGCATATATTTTAGGGTCATAATTTATACGAATTGATTGTATATAAGGATGTAAAAAAATCATTACAACGAAAACCCTCAAAAATTAAATATTTCTTAAAAACAAAAAAAAAATGGATAATATCTGATTATGATGATGATTTGAAAAATTTGCAATAAAATTGGTTGATTATATTTTCCACGAGGATTGTAGTAGTAAAAAAAATTTTTTTGAAAAAATAATGAAATTGTTTTTGTTTCGTTATTTTTTCTCCAAAAAAATAATTTTTTTCACCCCTATTTACATAAATTTTCGATTCTTGCACTAATAATAATCATGATACAAATTACTAATCAATTTTACTGGTAATCCGTCGCTTCCTGGCTGCCCATCTCTTCCCGCGGAGGCTTGAGGACCCGGTTTTCCAGGATTACCCCTTTTCCCGGGCTGACCATCATTTCCTGGGTTACCAATAGGGCCGGGTGGTCCCTAGAGAAAAATTAAATATGTATTAATTGGTATAAATAAATACTCAGATTTTTAAAAATACCTGTGGCCCCTCTCCACCTTGCTCGCCTTGGCTACCATCATTGCCTCTATCCCCCGATCTTCCATCTGGTCCAGGAGAGGCCTGTCTTCCTTTGCCACCTGGCGCGCCAGCTAGTCCAGGTGATCCATTTCTTCCATGAGGACATCCGCAATCTAAAACCAAAGGAATTAAAAAATATATGAGTTACTTAAAATTTGTCAAAATGAGATGTCCTTTGGGCCGTTTTCAATTTTTTTAAAAATAAACGTGCTCAGCTTTATTAATTCTTAAAATAAAAATTATATCTTAAAATACTCACCGACTTCCGTGACGCCACCCGTTCTAAGGAGTTCGTTGACCAAATTACGGTATCTAGGATCGTCTCGCCCGGCCTCTTCTCTTCTAGCCGTAAAATCACTTCCGAGGCCTCCGCTGGTGCCACCCTGTTGTTGAACGCGTCTTTGTTGCAAAAGTGCTCCAAAACCACTTAATATGGCCCCTCCGCGGCTACCAAAACTCCCGCCGCGACTACCAAAACTCCCGCCGCGACTACCAAAACTTCCGCTACGAATGCCAAAACCTTCGCTCGCGCTGCTACCTCCTCCAAAAATTGACTCCCCCGCAAAAGGTAGTGGTTGAGGAGCTGGCTGTGGAGCCAGTAAACCAGTGTCCGCATCCGTAAAAGCATGTCTTTTAATACGAACTCCGAAGAGGGTTACATTCTGAGCATCCATTCGACGTTTCTTTTTAATTTCTAGGTCATCTACGACTTTTTCCAATTTTCGCCTAGCCGCCAATACTTTCGCGGCATATCTTTCGTTCTAATTTATAATATTTCATAGGTCAAAAAGGGTTGAGTAAATTCTCTTGGTAATTATTGGAATTTAGAAAAAAAATTTAATCCCTCATCTGGCCTGGGAGCCGGCCATATATTTTTTTACGAATTTTTAGTCCCTCTCCGATATTTTATTTTATTGCAAAAGTATATTATATAAATTAAATACATTTTGATCAAGTTAAATAAAATATAAATAACTATTTTTTCAAAAATATCATTATCTTTTCCTTTTTTTTAACGAAGCATCATTAGAATTTTTTTAAGGCCTGGCTGGGATTCAGGCCGACTTGCATATTTTAACAGCATATGCTACAAATAGTGTTGTTAAACGGCTTGATTTAAGCCGATCCGATTTTTAAAAACGGCTAACTCGATATTTTATCCATGAAAATATTACGCAAGGTCTTAAGATTTTTCTCAAAGATGGCACAAAGGTTTAGAAATCCAATAGCGATCTAGAGCCATATTTAAAAATCGGCTCAACTCGTACAAGTATTAAGTTCATATAAATTTAAAAATTTGAAAATCAGAATTTAATAGTATTATTTAATATCATGGATTCCATTATATTTTAATTAACATAAATTGATTATGTGTAATTATAAAAATAAAAATATTTTATTTAAAGGATTCATAAAAAGATGTCTTATTCATTTGTTGTATTCTTAAATTTTTTTAAAATTTATTTATATCAATTCTAAAAATAAATCATACGAAATAAATCATTACTCTCATGTTTTCCAATTTCTTATACATTTTGTCGATTACACTTTGTCTTTTAGCCAATTTCGACATCATCATGTCAACCAATTCCCTTTGCTCCTGCTGAATTTGGGACAATTGCCCATAAAACACAGGTAACACCCAGCAACAAGTCAGGATCAGAACCAAGAAACCCGCGACACAAAAGAAAACATTTAATTTGCCTTGAAAGGGTCTAGTAGCTCCCATAATAATATCAGTATTTTTCTTTAATATAAATGGTCGAAAGTTAAATAAATCAGTTGAAAATCGATTAAAAGATGGGACAAAAAAAATTATGATTTAGAAATGATAAAATTATCAATATATATAGATAAAAAAAAATTTCTCTATTTATTAAATTTGGGAAAAGTTTTTTCTATTTTAAAAGAGTTAATAAACTAAAAGGTAAAATAAAAAATAATAAAGGTTATACATAGACAAGTCATATTTTTTAAAAAAAATAGGGGAAGTGTCAAATATAATTAAATTTTAAAGTATAAATTATTCAAATTTTATCACTTTTTAAATCTTATTAATTAGGGCTCACCTAATATTCATTTTGCGGGATTTATAAATTAAATTTGCCACCTCTTTTTCTTTCCTTCGCTTTTACCCATTTTTTGATTACCCCTTTAATTATATGTATATATTTTTTTTTAAATTGAAGGATATATGTTAAATTTTTAAAAAATATATATAATATGATAATTATTATATCATAATAATTAGGTTAAATAAAAGATTATAAATTAGCCCTCTTCCTTTAAAAATAAGAAAACTTTTAAAAGTTGTAAAAAAAGAGAATCAAATTTTAAAAATATTGGATATTTTGTTTTTAAATCAAAGATCATTTCTCATTTTGATTTATCATATATATTATCTTTAAAAAAATATGTCGTGTTGGAACTTACCCTACCAAGACTGCTTCATTTATTAAAATGCATTTAGAAGTGCTGTTGAATACAAATTAGCCGGTGACACACTATTTTGGTTTCCTATATAAAAAAAATTTAACATCCTGTCCTGAACTCCGAATCAGCTGGCGGCACTCCATTTTTATTTCCTATTTGAACAATTTACATTAAAATTTTATGATAACTTCTTTTCTTTCAAATTCCATTTATAATATAAAAAAAACAACATATGGAAGAAATTTAAATGGTCAGTCATCCAACTGATTTGTATTCAACAACGTTCAAAAATTCATTTTAATGAATGATTCATCAATCTAGATAAGTATTATTATATCATTGATGGAATCTGGCTATCGGAATAATATGTATTTGACAGAAATGCATTCCAGTATGTGTGGAGTACCCAACGCTGTGAAATTAAGACAATTTTGCATGTCAGGTTTTAAAACTACTCTGTGTGAAATGCACAGTGGGGATACTCTCAACATACTGTACGGTGTGAAATCAGATTCCTCAAATTTAAAAATTATCCTCAATAAATTATCCAAAATGAAGATATTGCAAATCTCTATGGACTTCATATGGCATTAGCTAATAAATATATTTGATATTTTAAATTGAATTTTTTAATATTTATATTTAATTATTTCTATGAATTTATATTGTAATTTTTAACTACTAATTTATTACTATAAGCACAGAGAATGTCCAAGTGATTAATATCTTGTCAAATTCGTGTATTACAAGTAACATTATTTAAAAACGAAAATCGAATAGTAACGAACACGAATAGTAAAATGATTCGTTTTGTCCGAATACGAATTATTAAATTCGAATACATAACTCGAATTATTCGGATAGCGGAAGAATTATTTAATTAATTTGTTATATTCGAATCAAATTTCAATCGAATATTAGAATTATTCGTATAACATATCGATAATCTATCAATCTGACAGATGATGTAATTAACAAGGTTAGCATCAACTGCTTCTAAAAAACTTTCATAGTTGGAACAGATTTACTGTCAAAAAATAGCATATCACTTAAAAATTGGCTTGGCATTTTGAATACAATAAATATGCATATTTTAATTTCATTATTATTTCTAATAATTATTTTTCTTGTATTAGAAGTGAAATAATAAAAAAAAATTTTTTAAAAAAACTGTCAATATATTTTCATACGAATTTTTTTAAAATAAATATGAATAATGTCATATTCGATTCGTATTCGGTTTCAAATAGGCCTAATTACCGGTATATAAATTAAAAAGTTTCAATTTATAGTCAATAGATATTTATTTTGATTTCTGGATCTAGAAAAATATTTTTTTTAAAAAATGAGTTTATTAACATTTGGTAAAAATTAGGTTTTATTATAGTTATATATATATGTATATATATAAGCTAGACTACTATATTCGAAATGAGGCCACGTCGAAGTTAGCAGCGGCCATTTTTATTGTAGGTGTGGTTAGAAATAAACATAGAAATATGCAAGTTAAATTTATATTTTACTTTGGATAGTATAATATATTTTTTTTGAATTATATTTAAATTTTAATGGTATAGATAATAGTTTATCTTTTGCACATAAATAGGAAAATTTATATTAAAAAACTCAATAATAAATACATTATATTGCTTTTCCTTTATCGATTTGCAAGTAACACGAATATACCTTGATAATTGGGCCTTGATTGCTTCTTATAGCACACAAGCACATAGATTTTTTTTTCTCTTTAAACAAATTTAGTTATTTGTGCAGAATTATAGTGAGAAAATATTTTTTATCATGTCCATTTTTTCTTCCAACCACAATTTATTTTTATAGCGTCTATAAAAGTTTTGTCTTACCTTTTTTAATTTTCTAACACATAGCCCCGAAATCTTAGAATATATACTTAAGGGTCAGAAAAAATTATTGAATGCTGAGAATTATTTCTTAATGTCCAGAGGAAGGAAATGCCAAATTGGGTACATAACTCAAACTCAGATTCTGAAAAATTTAAATGATCATTATTCGATAATAATTTGTTGTTGTGAGTGACAGAACAAACAGCAGAAGCAGCCCCAAATTACTAGCTAATTTTAAAAAGAAAATGCGTTCAAAAATATTAAAAGCAAATATCGCTTTGTGGAAAGAAAAGCGAAGACTTATAATAATTCAAGCGTAAATGATTTTAGTCATGGTGGGATCTAATGATTTTATATGGTGATTATCAGAGGTGTCGTTTATTATGATAATAATTTTATAACAATTGAGAAAGTTACTTTGATATTTTTTTTTAATCACGCTTCAAATCATATTGCTAATTTAATTTATACCAAAATTTTTTTAATATAATTTTTTTAAAAAGAATACCTCATAATAACGTTAAAAATTTTTTCAATACCTGGATTCGACACCCATGAACTCACATAAATTAAAAATTTGTAGACTGTAACTCAATAAATGTTCATATGCCATTAAACGTTTAAAAATCACACTCTTGGAGAAATTCGAATTGAAGTTCAAAACTTTGGACATGTCGTTAAAATCAGCGAGAGAGGAGGGGGAGAATATAAATCAAAGTCCTTGCAGGTCCGGTTAAAAGATTTTTTTTTATATGTCTGAATCGGGCCTAAAAATATAAAATCCAGGACTACCCAAATTTTTTAAATAAATCCGGGCCGGGCTGTGCAAATGCTACCTCTGCAGGTCCCTGTTATAAATAAAATAGGTTACTTCAATTTCACAAAGTCTATGATTCGTTATGCGCAGCCGAAGGTGGCAAAAAATGCAACCTTACCCCTAGTACTTACCTTACCCAAAAGCTAATGTGAATGGCACTTCGTTATTATGCTATTAATGATTTAATTAAACCATTTTTTATACCAATTTTTATATAAGTGAAATAATAAATCATTTCATAGGTTTAATTAAAAACATTCATTTATATTAACTTTTAAATTAGACTTATTTTATGCTGGAATTCTTCAGATGTGCTTAAAGCGCTTAAATTCGATTTGAGCTATATTCCAACATAAAGGGGCTAAACATTATAACATTTAAAGTTACAATACTGTTAAAATATAACATGACCCGTCACAAAAAGATCAAGATACGATGGCAGTTTAATAGTCTTTACTGTCATTATCATTCATTATAAGTATAAAATATGATTTTATTAATCGGCAAATATACAAAAATATTGAAAAATAAAATGTTTTTATAAAAATTTTATCACAAAAAAAGTCATAAATATTTTTCAGAATTCAATCGAATTAAATGCAAGCGAATGAAATATAATACATAACTATTATGCATTGTTTTACCATAAAACATTTACAATTTTGAAATATAATATATTTTTTTCTTTATAAAAAAATATCTAGATACGAGAAATTACCAATGAAAACCTGCCAGATTAAATATTATAGGGTCGAAGAAATACATTTATAAATCAACTTAATATATAATAACAAAAAAAAAATATTTTATAATTTAAGTAGATATGAAGGAAAGTTAAATTACATGTAATTAGTCAAAATGTTCACATACGTTTTTAAAAAAAAAGAAGAAGTAATTTGACGGTTCTAAATTAAAATAAAAATTTTACATATTCTGCCCTATGCAATATTCCTCAGAGAAACTGGCAAATGTAAGGTACTTTGGTAGTTTGCTAGGCCTCAGAAATATATTGCGGTTCCGTAGGTAAACAGCTAAGCATTTGTCGAGTAAAATGTGCTCAAAAAAAATAGATACCCCAAAATTGCACAGTGCCAAAGTTAGGTAAAAGAGAGAAGGGAAAACAGTGGGTGGATATTTCAGCTCAAAAAACCGATCCAATATTAAATACGAATAAGGTTTTCCTATTGTGAGATATACCCAGAATAAAAAGAGTAGTGCGGTGATGATTAAGAGGGGAAAGTTGCTGTAATAAGGCCTCCTAAAAGGCGCACCCTTAGAAAGAACCACAGTAAATATGAGGTATTGAAAGAAGGATAAAATAAACACCGCAGACGCAACGTGAATATAATAAGGGTTTTTGAAGTCACTCTCAGGTACGATTACCTTGTGAGACCAAGGTTGTCTAAAAGTGTAGATCAAGGCAGCTGCTAGAAATAAAGAATTAATAACGATGTGGCCAAATACGGAACCCACATGGAGAGCCTGAGCCAGAGAAGTGTCAGGCTTGTACTTATTTAAGTCTTCCATGTAGTTCTTGTATCGACGTTTTTCTTTATAACGATCTATATGGTTCAATTTCAATGAAGACATATTTTCTAAATCTCCGTTAGGCGAAGGGTTAAATTTAGCCTTTGATTTATGAGAGAAAGATGATACATCTGACCGAGCCCGAACTGTAGGAAGCTGTGGATTAGCCCTGGTATTGCCCATAAGCATAGTAAGCACGGTAGCTGGAAAAAAATCGGCAAAGGTAAACTGGACATCGCTGAAATTAGTCCCAAACCAATATAAGGCGAGCACGGCTAGAAATTGGTTAAGACTATAACAGGCCATATTCTTGAAAACGCAGAAGGAGGTGGCTAGGGATGCTCGACCTTCCTTAATAATTCCTGGAATGCAAGATATGTTGCCCTGGGTAGCAGTGAAAGGTGCCGCTAAGGATGCTGTGCCTGTTGAACTGTCTTTTATCTTATGAGTGTAATCATTCCTCGAGATCGAACAATTAAAGGCTCGTTTTAGTTGCCCTCTAAACTTTTCATTTCCGTTATTATTGCTAAGAGGATCACGGACATTGGCTTGAATCTCCTTATCCTTTTTTGAAAACTTATCGCCATCATCTATAATATCTTCTTCGGGTAGATGGTCAGACACGGCCAAGGAGACTCCCATATGAGCGGCCTTGAGAGCTCCGCAGTCATTGGCCCCATCACCGCACATACCCACATAATAGTCTAAGCGTTGGTACCTCTGAACTAAGCGTGTTTTGCATTCAGGTGTCATACGAGCAAACACACAACAACCGTCTATCAAAAACCGATCGATCAAATCGGGTTCGAACTCCAATATGTCTGATTGACAGGTTGAGATAGGACTATTTGTGTTTGAGGCAAGAAGTAGATCCTCATTACCCAGAGATAAGGTGGAAGGAATATCGTTGGAAATATCCCGGTCTAAAAAATGAGAGGAGGGGACTCTATCTGATGTAACCTTATTAGTGGCATCGTTATGGTTACTCGTGTACTGGCTATTATTATTGTTAATATCTTTCATAGGTATGAAGTCTGGATTTTTGTTTCTGCATTTAAAATTATTAATTATATCGCACCCTACAAGGGACTGGTGTATAATAGGCTCGCTTGAATGATTTAAATCGCCGTCTTTCGGTTTTGAAACTCTTCCCTTCAGCGAAATTTTTATCTGGTGCTGCGTTTTATTTTCGTAAAATTTTTCGAGCGTTTTAAAGGTTGGGCCAGTCATAGCATAAACGATTTGATTGCTGTTAAATTCATTCGAAAATTCTATATCCCCCACAAATTTGCTATTATTTGATTTGTTGATTAGATTAGAAAAGGGTTGGTGGTTGGGATGGTTCACGAATACGTTTCCTTGGCCCCCATTTTCCTTGAGCATGTTTACAACGCATTTGATATTGGCGCGATTACCAAATATTTCCCTACAACGATTGTCGTGTGCATTGGTGCTGTAGATCCTGTTCCTGCCAGTCAACTTAAATAATATCTTATGTAACCGCTTGCAAATTTCATGGGAATAATAAAAACGAGTTGAAATTTTGTTGGATTCTTTCATGTCCGGGGCTAATTTTGGGGAATTAAAGCATTCGAAATAATTCCATACTTTCATAAAATTAAACCAAGGAGGGTTATTTGTAGTTGTGCTGGGTGAACCATCAAATAACTCGTCATCGTACAGATCTACGTTATCGTTTTGGGAGGGGAGGGGTCAATGGGTTAAAAAAAATAAAAATTTATTAAAGCCATGTATGGGCAGAGAATCTGAATTAAATCAACGTGAGTCGCCTGAATGCTGGGTTAGTCAGACATTCATTCTCTACTCAGTCCTATTCACACCTTTCACATTTATTTCGAAATCGACCGGAAGACCTCCACAAAATTTTAAATTAAGTCTTCCTGGTGATTTCCTTTTTAAAAAATATTTCTTTTCAAAGAATAACAAAAATAATTTTTTTACTTACCTTCATCAGTAAGGCCGTGTAGGCGCTCAGGTTATCTTTGAAATTTATTTCTGTTTAAAAAGAAAGAAAGAAAGAAAGAAAGAAAGAAAGAAAGAAAGAAAGAAAGAAAGAAAGAAAGAAAGAAAGAAAGAAAGAAAGAAAGAAAGAAAGAAAGAAAGAAAGAAAGAAAGAAAGAAAGAAAGAAAGAAAGAAAGAAAGAAGTAGGTTGCCTTTGAGTTATGACACCAATTCTGGGTTGTTTTAAGTTTGTACAATAAATAAATATTAGTTGGCTTATTTATATATCTTTTAGGTAAAAATTAAAAACGGCTATTTTGAAATAATTCGATAGAACTCTTCCGTTTTCAGGTCAACGGTCTATTTCTAGTAATTAAAATTTTGGATAGAAGTTCGGATCTTTATAAGAATGAAAAAAAATATTCTAGGATGGGTTTGCTTGGATGAGTGTTATAGGGTTCTATATTCACTTATTTTGCAAGATGCTTCTTTTTGATAAATGCTAGATATGTTAAAATGCTCCCCTAAACAATTTTAAAAAAAATGTAGATAGAACACTATAATACTCAGTTGTCGATATTTCATATTACTAATTATTATTTTTTAATAATGGAGTAATAGTATAATGAGTTCATTAACATAAATTATAAAAATAATAATTTTATGTTTTTTATTTAAGAAAAACCATTCTTAGTCGTTAAGCTTTTGGGGAGCAGGGATCTAGGAGTCAGAGTGATGTGCAATGAGGGGTACGCGTTATTTTTGGAACCATTTGATATGACGGAACTGATAGCGTCTACTATGTAAACGCGAGTGGAGTTCTCGGGTATAAGATGACATTCTTTGGCAACCGATAAAGCGGTAAGTATATTGTCGCCGGTGATCATAACATTTTTAAGGCCGGCTTTGTTTAGTATATCTAGTGTAGGCATGGATTGGGGTTTTAGCTTGTTTTGAAATATAAGGAATCCTATAAACGTCATATCTTTTTCCATCTACAAAATTAGGGATACTTTTAAAGTTACATTTTCAAATGCAATAAAATATAATAACTCATTGGAATGTCTCAAATGAATCTAAAATTTAAAACTCAAAAAAAAGGGGGAAGTCATACAGAGAAACACATTAGTGAGGGATAACCTTATTGTATAAATAAAAAAACTCCATAATATAAAATCCGTGAATGAATATGATTTGTAAAACATGATTTATTATATTTCTCTCCAATCACATTTTAAACAAAACAACTATAAATAATACCTGAGTTCTAGAGCACTTCTTAATTCCGGTCAGCTTAAAATGGTGCAGATTTTTATGAGCGCAGGCTATAACCCTGTAGCCGCAATTAGTCAGGGCATCGAGCTCCTCATCGAAATTGATTGGTATACTCGTTTCAAGGCACAAAGATCGCACTATCTCAGGTGCTCCCTTGCAGTACAACTCGAAATTTTGTCCCAATAAACGTCTAGTTACTACGCTCATCCTTTGCAAAGAGGGAAGGAAACGGTAAGTATGGATTACCCCGTACTGATATCTGGAGCTAAGATCGGAGTACAAAAGTTCAGCTATTTCTGGGTCGATATTTAGAGATACATCCTTGTCTGGGCAATTTAAGCTCGAGGAGGTTTGCAAAGGTGGAGTGTAAATGGCTCTGACCAATAAACTATTGTCGTTGGCGTTAGTGTTTTTATTATTTGAAAAATCTAATGAACAAGTTTCACTACGGTGGTTATAAAGATATTGTTGGTCTGACATGGACCATCCGGAGAAGATAAACATCTTGATCTCTAACGGGTCCCCGACAAGTTTTTCGTCTATAATGGCCAATGAATGACACACGGCGCAGCATACCGATAAGACGTTCACCGATGAGGAAGCGATCACATTATCCAAATCAGTTTTAATTGATAAATCATCGTTTTGATGATACTGAAACCAAAGGGGGTCAGTCTCCGAAATTATGTGAGAAGCAAAGGTACACTTCCCGGGAGATGTAGACTTTATAAAAAAAAAGAATTCGTAAATAAAAATTAAGTTATTCTTTTAGTCCTAATGTTAAAAAAATTAATAGGTTTTTAATATTTAGGCTTATTTTAGGGAGAGAAGACCGGGGATAGTGTTATCCAGGTCAGATAATTTCTTCTTGAAATTTATAAACATATTTTAATAATATGCTTCGATGGTTCTTCTAAAAATGTTTCGCAGAAAATTTTAACATGTCAAAAGTAACTTTTTAATTTTTTTCATTTAGTTACTCAAACTAAATATTAATTTAAATGATATACTAATTAGAGATCTGCAAAAGTAGTACCAGCCCCTACACGTACCCGGCCGAGCCCGGTCCTCATGCCTAATTTTGTTTAAAAAAATCGGGTTCGGGTCTAATATTTTAAAATAAAATTCCGGCCGGGTCGGGCCTTGGAAATTTTTTAAATTTATTTAAATTTATCAATTTTATATTGAATTTTTTATTATTAAAAATGTTTGATTTTATTTTATTTATAGAACTAGATGCCATATAACATATGTCTTTTATTTTTAGTAATTATAAAAATTAATTTCTATATTTGTTCGGGGCGAGCCGGTAAATTTCTTTAAAAAAATCTCGTTTTCGGGCTGGGCCGGCAAAACTTTTTTAAAAAAAATTCGGGCCTGGCCGGGCTTGAAAAATTAGGCCCGATGCAGATCACTATTAATCTCAATTTTATCATGTATAAAAATATTTGAATTTATGATAATTATAAATTCTATTGATTTTTATTAAAATTCATATACAAATATGATAAAGTATTAATATTTAAAAATTAACAAGAATGGTATATATAAAGAATATAGTAAAATATGTCATATATCATCAGTTCAAGTTTTTTAAAAAACAATTAATAAAAAGAATGTGAAATTTATATATAAAATAATTTTTTTTAAAAAAAAATCAGGTGGCGAGATCAGGCCAGGATTTTTTGAATTTTTGATAGTTAGATCTAATTAAAGAGACGGCGATTTTCTGTTTGAGTTTATAAAATGGAGTAAGGTATGATTTTTTGATTGATTTGGATATTTTAATTGCGAAGATCTGAGGCAGTTTTGGCCGGATACGTAATAGCCATTTTTAAGCAGGGAATATTTAGTATAAAAAAAACCCAACTAAATTTATAAGAACGCTTCAAGCCACTAGTTTATCTAAGGGCGCGAATGACAATATGAAGATGATTGATTTATTTTTTTTAAAATTATATGACAGTTTTAAGTGAAAACAAGTTCTTCCGGGTATATGTATATATAATATAGATGAACCTGGTAAATTTAACATTTGGAAGCCAATGACATTCATTATAATAATACCTAGGCTGATGATTTCGCTAATTTAAAAGTATACCAACACAAATCAGTTGGTGGCAAGCCATTTTTATTTCCCGTATAAACAATATTACATTAAAATAAAACAAATTGTCGTTTAACATGAATGAATTCATATTCAGATTTAGCATCACCATTGTATAAATGATATAAATATTTTAAATATTTTAAACATGATTATTCACCTTAAATCCTTCTTCTACTTTATCTATCATTAATGGGCGAACTCCTAGAATATCAAGCCCGTCTTCCGTCAGAGTTCCGGTCTTATCGAAACAAAAAACATCTACAGCTCCGGACACCTTAATCTTATCGGGGCTGAGCGAGATAACCCCATAAAGTCGTTTCAACCTTTTCTGGGCAAAGATGAGCCCGGCAGTCATAGCGGCTGGTAAAGCTGGAGGAATTACTATAGTCACCAGATCAAGAGATCTTATGATAATCTCCTTGACAGGAACCTTTTGGATGACTTTCAATGAAATTGAGTAGCAAAGGCCGGCAATGGCCAATCCAAAAAGAGCCGAAACGAATTTGTAACTATCCTGGTCAAAACCGAACACGCTCGGAGCCGGGTACAAGAAGTCTGTGACCATTTCTCCCTTCATCGTGCCAAATCCGGTGGCTACTACATAAGCCCTTATAGCATCACTTTCGTAGATATTATTAGGGTTGTTATAATCATTGTTTTTATTAGTATCGCCACCGAATATTTGGTAGTTTCTTTTTTAGGAATGAATTTTTAAAAAAAATTTTTTTTTTAGAGAGATAAAAAATAATAAATCAAAATGATAGGCCCATTCTTTCTTCCTCTCTTTCTTTCTTTCCTTCCTTCCTTCCTTCCTTCCTTCCTTCCTTCCTTCCTTCCTTCCTTCCTTCCTTCCTTCCTTCCTTCCTTCCTTCCTTCCTTCCTTCCTTCCTTCCTTCCTTCCTTCCTTCCTTCCTCTCCTTCCTTCCTTCTCTTCTCTTCCTTCCTTCCTTCCTTCCTTCCTTCCTTCCTTCCTTCCTTCCCTTCTTCTTCTTTCTTTCTTCTATTTCTTATTTATTTGTTATAGTTGAATTTTTTTTAAATAATATGATTTTAGGTACAAAAATTGGTTTATAATTTTAAAGTAGGGTTAATAGAGCATGTCCATAAATTAGTTTCCCATGCTTGAACTAATTGAATCGGGCCGTAAAAGTTATATAACTTGTTTAGTTGAGTAAGGACTAGGTGATAACCATTATATAGTCGCCTGAGAATTAAGTTATTCCATATCCACTTTTCGTCAAAATATAATTTTTTTATAATTATACTATTCCATTTATATCAGAGCCTGCAAAGGTACCATTCGTACGGCCCGGCCCAAGTATAATTAAAATATTAAAATACGAGCCTGACCAGACTTAGGGCTGGGCCTGCAGGTCTCTAATTTACATTTTAAAAAAAGGGAATTATAAAATAAACTTTATTGAAAGAAAACTATATTTTTATAATTGCTCTCCTCCAACTACAAAAAGGGGAGATGGAATAAGCTAATTTCCTAAGGCGACAATATATTAAATAATTTGTTATATGTTTAAAAAATATGATAATAAAAATATTTAAAAAAAATTTGATTTCGGAATAAAGAGTAGGGTTTTGATATTTAGAATCACCACGTTAGAATTAAACTCAACGAATTTCATAATCTCAATACTCATTTCGCCTGATAAATATTTCTAATTCACCAGCCTTCTCATTGTCTAAAAAAATATGCTTTAAACCACCCGCCCAATGCTTAAAAAGTTTTAACCGGGCTAAAAACCCGGCCGTTGCAGTTTTCAATTCAGCATCTTCATAAATGAATCCGTTTATATTTTAGCCATCAGAGGAGTCTCCGGAAGGTACTAGAGAACTTTGCGGTATAGGAGACCGGGACGATTGGTATTTTTCGTTTTTACCATTAAATTTCAAAACAAATATAAAACTATATGATTAAATCCCTCATTTTCAAAATAACAAAAATGTAACTCTTATTATAATACTTTAGGAGCTGTGCTATTTTTCCTATTTTACCCCATGCTTAAGGTTAGTTTAAGCATCAGGGTAAAGTGGTTGACATAAAATAAAACATAACTTTATTGTTTTATTGAACAAAATTTTGCAATTTTGACGGTATCACGTCAATTCGGCGCGGAAAATTCGGCGCGGAAAATTCGGCGCACGACAATTCGGCGCAGAAAACTCGGCGCGGCGTCAATTCGGCGCATCGTCAATTCAGCGCAGCGACAACTCGGCGCAACGTCAATTCAGCGCGGCGACAACTCGGCGTAACGTCAATTCGGCGCGGCGTCAATTCAGCGCAACGTCATTCGGCGCGTATCTAATACAGTTGCAATTTATTATAAATTTATTAGTATAAAAAAAGGATGATTAAATAGAAATGATTTTGAATGTTGGTCATATTAATTATTTCTTCGTATTTTTTTTTACAAAAATCTCAATTTTATTTACTAAATGTGTAATATCAATAAAAAAAATTAACAACCAATATTTATACCGATTTCCTTGCTGGACCAATTTATCACATTATAAGGTAGGGGAGACTGGGGTTAGTCGGACCGATTTTTACAAAATTTAGCTCCTGATTTTTTTAGATAATATAAAAAATAATATATGATTAGATACCTCCTAAAACTATACTCTATAAAGGTACCTTATAAAAATTTTAAGGATATAATCATTTTTTTTAAATTTTACTTTTTGAAAAAGTAAAAATAATATCCAAAAAGCCCCAATAGCGGGGTGAGGCAGATTCAAGGGGCTTCCTAATCATTGGTTTTTTTAGCCATAATAAATTGAAATGCATTTTTATTTATTAATAATGATACGTATAGAATAATTTTATTGTTTTATTGTTAAAAATATCATAATACTTATAAATTGAATTATATATAAAAATTGAAACTTAATTTAGGTTAATTTAATAAACATTTTGGACATAAAGGAGATATTATGATTTCTTAGCATAAATCCTAAATACCAATCATAAACAGCCATGAAATTGCCTTTGTGCGTTAATTCGTTTTTGATTATTTTATAATAGAAAAAATTAGTTAAACATAATATATATTTAAAATGATTAATAGAATTATTTTAAGGATTTTTAATAAATCTAAAAAATGAATCAGTCTTAATTTGAATTTTATTGGATCAACATTAGTGTTGTTAAACGTCCGATTTGGGTCGATTAAGATTTTAGCCATAATAACATGTAAGATTAGAGATAGAAGTCCAAACTTTTCTTACATTTAGCGCAAAATCTCGCTTACATAATATTGGCTACTAATCAAAAAAGGGGAGACTGGGGTTAGATACCGGGGCTTGGCAAACCACTTAATCTCATCTTAAAATTAAATACACCAGAAGGTTAAAGTTTTATCATAATATAGTTTTTATTAGTTTACGTTTATAGACAAAAAATCTTTTGAAATAATTATTAAAAATTTTATTTAAGAAATAAAATATTGATGAAGTTATTTGGGAAAGTTATATGAGTATTTATTATATCCAGAAATTTAGAGTTAGCAGGGCTTGCTAAACCATACACGTCTATTATGGCAGTTAATAATGAAAAAAATACAAAATGTTTATTAAATTAACCAAAATTAAGTTTCAATTTTTATATATAACTTGCCTTAATTTACCCGCTATTGGGGCTTGTTGGACAAAATTGTTCTTTTACAAAAAGTAAAATTCAAAAAAAAATGATTATATTCTTAAATTTTTTTATAAGGAACCTTTATAGAGTATAGTTTTAGGTATCTAATCATATATTTTTTTTATATTATCTAAAAAACCAGGAGCTATAGCCAATTTTATAAAAATCGGTCCGACTAAACCCAGTCTCCCCTACCTTATAATGTGGTAAATTAGTCCAGCAAGGAAATCGGTATAAATATTAGTTGTTAATTTTTTTATTGATATTACACATGTAGTAAATAAAATTGAGATTTTTGTAAAAAAAAATACGAAGAAATAATTAATATGACAACATTCAAAATCATTTCTATTTAATAATCCTTTTTTTTATACTAATAAATTTATAATAAATTGCAACTGTATTAGACGCCGAATTGACGTTGCGCTGAATTGACGTTGCGCCGAGTTGTCGCCGCGCTGAATTGACGTTGCGCTGAATTGTCGCCGCGCCGAATTGACGTTGCGCCGAGTTGTCGCCGCGCCGAATTGACGTTGCGCCGAATTGTCGCCGCGCCGAATTGACGTTGCGCCGAGTTGTCGCCGCGCCTAATTGACGTTGCGCCGAGTTGTCGCCGCGCCGAATTGACGTTGCGCCGAGTTGTCGCCGCGCTGAATTGACAATGCGCCGAATTGACAATGCGCCGAATTGACGATGCGCCGAATTGACGCCGCGCCGAGTTTTCTGCGCCGAATTTTCCGCGCCGAATTGACGTGGAACCAATTTTGACGCCTATTCATTGCTTTTAAGTAATACTAATCAATATAATGCGTAATAAAAATTTATCAAAATAACACTCTCATAATGGCATCGTATATTTAATATACATCGTAATTATAATGAAATAATTTGATACGCAAAAAATATTATTAAAAAAAATTTGATTGCAAAAGAGAAATTAAAATTAGGTGAAATTTATAAGATAAAAATATAAGGAGAAAAAAATCATCAAAAGTCAAAAAATTGTTATGTAGGATAAAAAAAAAAGAGGAAAGAATTGTTAAAAAATGACAAAAAATAGAATAGAGAACTGAAGAAATATAACAGGAAAAATTTATAAATTATTTTTAAAAAGACAAATGGAATTTCAAAAATGAGAAGAAAAATAAATTAAGAAAATATAAGATAAGAGAAAAGAAAAATAAAGATTAAAAATGACTTAAAGAAATCGCAAAAGTTAGAAATAAAAATAAGAAGAAAAAATTAAAAAAACTAAAAATTTAAGAAAAATTGACAAGAAAAATTGACAAGAAAAAAATGTATATTTTTTTTAAAAAAATAACTATCTTCATTTTTTGAATAGGAATTATCCTTTTTTGATTGACACTTTTCCTTTTTTGTATGACACATTTCCTTTTTTGATTGAATCTTTTCCTTTTTTGTTTGACACTTTTCCTTTTTTGATCGGACTTTTTCCTAAGTCCTTTGGGACTAAATATTTTTTGGACCTTTTCCATTTATGATTGACCCTTTTCCTTTTTTGATGGGATCTTTTCCTTTTATGATTGACATTTCCTTTTTTGATTGGGACTTTTTCTTTTATATGGGAGACCCTGTATTATTCTTCTTTTCTATTATTTTTAAAATTGTATTCCTTATTAATGTTCCTTTTTGCTTAAAATATCTCCTCGATTTGGTGTAGAAATTAATATTTAAAAATTATGTTTTTATAATAATCAGACGCAGAATTTTAAGCATTTTACCCATAACAACTTTACCCTAAGATAATATATTATATCGTTATTGCATGACTTCTAGTTAAGCTATAAAGTTCCGATAAATTTTATTTTATAGCCTATGACTGAGGTAAATGAATGCAAATTCTTAGCCTTAATCTATTTTGCCAAAAGCAAAACAAACTGGAGGGGATTTTTATAATTATGGGTAAAAAACGATTTTTTAAATATGTCAACCTAGGGAAGTATTTTAAAAGATGAGGATAGGTAAGAAATTAGATATAAAAATACATCTTCACACCAAATTTAAGGTATTCAGTTGTTACCCCATCTATCGCTTTACCACGATCTCCCCTATAAGGGCTACATGTATATTTTAAGAAATGGATGTAAGGTACATAACAGAAATGCAGAGGTAAAATTTTTTTCGACCCGGCCTGGACTGCGTTTTATATTTTCAGGCTCGGCCAGACCGGTTTTGATTTTTTTAAAAATATTTTATATTTATTTTTGTTTTATATCTTATAATGGCGATTTCAAATATTTGGTTTCAAAATATAGAGCCCGGCCCGGGGCGGATATTATTTAAAAAAATTAAAATACGGCCCGGCCCGTCTTTTACATCAACCAATTAAAATTAAACTATGATCGCTGTTAGTTATTAGGTATTTACAGAAGGGTCAAGGTTTAGCACTCGATTTTAAATTAAAAAATTTTTGATAGAAATGTTGCTTAAAATAACTCAATATATTTCTTATTATATTTTACTTAAAATTAGCTAGAGGGCATAATTATAAATGCAATATTATTTTTAAATATAACTGGATAGTTTTGGGCTATATTTTCATTATTATTTAAGAATTCTATGAATTATGATATAAAAAATTCTTTAAAAATTATTAGAAATCTTAAATTAATTTTTGAGATATGTTGACGATTTAAAATAAATTGCTTACTACATCACAATATGTATGGTATTATTTCCTCGTAATAGCTAATATAATTATAGCAAGACAAAAAAAAATGTTGCTATATAAATTCATTTATTCATTCATAAATATATTTTATATAATATAAAATAGGATATCATAAAATATATAAAATAAATTACTTACTTACTGTTATAGACATTCGGGGAGTAAGGGGGGGGAGAAAAATAACCAATGGAGGGGGGGGGTGTACTTTAGAGCCACCCTTGATGAGGTAAATTACTTTCCCTGAGTGACTGGATATGTTAATTGAAATGGTCAAATAAGAGTTTTCAAATTTGAAAATTGCCCTTAGTAAATTTTTCATAATTGGATTCATAATCACTATGGATAATATATTTCTTTACAACTTATGCATTTAGTTTTATATATTTCATTTTAAGAGATAGTGTAATATCCTAGAGAAATTAATGGGGGAAAAATATTATATCCACGAACTTTATTTGCAAAATCCGGGTTCCGTTATATATGATATGCCGAGCTAAACTAGCGTCTTGCCGTAGGTAGAGAAGCCCTCCCTCGTCAGCCATTTCCCCAAAATCTCCCGCTTTTTTATACTCTCGCTTTTCCTTTTCGCCATCTTTATCTTCGATGTCAAAAGGCAAAGGTATTTTTGTTACTGGTACGCTCTCACCCGTTAGCATGCACTCATCAACCAAGCATGAACCGTTGAGAAGAACCGCGTCGCACGGAATGGAGAAACCCGCCCCGCTGGTACAAGACCTTGAGCCTATCCTGATTATATCTCCTGGAACTAAATTGACAATGGGGATGGTAGCTAAACCTGAATAACCAGATTCTAAATAAACCTCGATTTGAACAGTGTGGGAGGCAGAAGTTGGAGTCTGGGTATAGTAATAGTTATAAATAGAATATATATATAATATTAAGATCGTTTTGCACAAATTAATTCAGAAAATATGACTCTAATTTTTTTTATATATAATATCTAAGAATCTTATAGATAACTTCCAAATTTTTTATTCCGTTGCAATTATTTCCCTACATAAGTAAATGTCTTAAATTTATGTCTTTTTTTTTAGCTTATTTTCTTATACAATTTTACTTATTGTATGAGATTTCACTTTTAAAAACAAATGTTACCATGTATTACAGAAATGTGAAAGGGCAAACACCCCTGCAACCCCCATGACGTGAGCAAGCGTTCAAGCCAAATTTTTAGAGATAAAATAGCCTCTAGAGGCCACAAATGATGAGTTGAGGCCCCCTAAGATGTAATAGTTATTAAAAGATACTTTAAAAAAAATGTAAATATCTTTTTTTTAATAATCGTAAGATAAAAGTGATGAGAGTAAAGGCTTATGATAAAAATATACAACAAAGATTAGATTATGGTTTCACAAATATTTCAACTGCAATAAAAAAAATCAGTGTGAAAAATTTATTCACATAATTAAATATCTTAAAATTATGATAATTGATTATTAAAAGATTAAAGAATCTGGTAAGGTATATTCCGTAACATTCGAAAACTCATTTTATAATTAGGGTATATTCTGGAATAGTTAAAAACTTATTTTATAATTAATTAATTAATCATGTTTGTAAATATTACATCAAGCTATTTTATTTAAAAAGTTTATCTTTATCCTGCATTCAGAGTTAGCACAAATTCGCGATTCTGTATTTTTGTATTCTTCGCTGCGAATTTTGTATACTTCGTCGAGTTTTCGCGCTAGCTGTGAATGACTTTTTTAGTCAGATGACACTATTTTACAAAAGCATAGTGACCTTTTTTTAATGCGGGAACTTAGAAACAAGAGAAGAACTGAAACACGAAGGCTAAGCTAAAACCTATGTTCTTTCGATCTACGGTTTATTATTTTTTTTGAAATATGTATTTTAATCTTTTAGCGAAAACATATTTCACCTAAATATATTTCCGGGTTCATTTTATTCAATGTAAATCTACAATACATTAATAAAAAAATAAAAAAATATAATGTTAACAAATAGAATGCATTCAAATATAACGCGAGTTCGGGGCGAAGAATACAAAATTTGCTGTTTTCTATATTTCACCGCGAATTCAAAACTAATCTGTGAATGCAGGGTAAGGCATTTTAAATGTATTACAATAAAATTGTTCCAAAAAAGCTGTCAAATATTTTAGTCCGGTACTGGCATAAGCCTCTTTAAATTTTTATAAATCATTATTTTGGGTTAACTTGATCGTGAGATTCTTGATTCTTGAGATTTGGCTCTGCATTGCTTGATAGATTGCGATTCAATTTTGTGCGGGCTAGTTTGATGTCCAGGGTAGATTTAATGAGCGTCAATACTGATATTATCAAAATACAGGTGGCGTAAAACCAATAGTCGTCATTGTACCTGATATAATTAGTCATAATAATATTGCAATATAAAAAGTATTCGCAACCAGAATTTAAAAACCTTATAAAAAACAACTGTGTGTATATATATATATATGTCATAGTGGAAAAACTTTGTAAAAGTGTAAATTTAATATGATTTAACACGACATATAAAGTTTTTAAGAAAAGAAAAAATAATATAAATGGACAAATCCATAAGCGGGTTATGTTATATAATATAACTAATGCCATTATATAAAAAAAAATTAAAAATATTTATAGGATATTTATTATACTTTAGATGATCTTTTAGAGTGATGAATAAAGATATGAAATAAGTAGGTTAAGAGTAATATACCTAAATTTATTATGAAAGATTTATAGGTTTTGCTGTTATATATGACGAGATTTTTATTCTAAAAAGATTTATTTCATTTTGGTTATTTGATTCATAACCGTTTTATTTTGGTTCATTATGGTATATATATAACTTTTTGATTTAAATTAATCACAATAGATTTGATTGATTGGCCGGTACATAAATAATCTGATAAACCAACAAAATATTAGAGAAAATGAGTTGAATTTCTTCATTTTATTAAAAAACATAAATAAATTAAGTTAACCTGCATAACGTGATCATTTATCACACGTAAACCTGCATTATTTCTGTAACAATATTAAAAAAATTTTTTATTATTATTTCAAAAACCGATTCAAAAGAATTTTTTAAAGGTTTAAATTTTTACTATAATGGTTCGAAAAATTATAACGGTTTAGTTCGGCTTTGAAATTTGATTCGACACCCTTCTATTAATAAGCATTATTGACAAATATTGATTACCATAGGATAACGCTAAAAGCTTGAAAGGCGTAAAAAGGGGTCAACACTTCGTCGTACATTATCTTGAAAAAGTTGGGTACGGGTGTATGCAAATTGTTAGAGCCAAATAGCATTATTCTCTTCTGTCTCTGCCTCTCGCTTAAAGGAGGATGAGGCCTTGAGTATATATTTTTGTTCATACTACCCGAATTCCTGTTTTCCACGGTGTTTTTTAACCTGTTTAGGTCTATATAAGCGGTCAGAGTGGCCAAGGAAAAACCCTGACCTAACCATACCCCCATCAAATCGTAAAACACGGCCCGAGAGGGATCATACACGTATACTCTGCGTTTGTTACGAAATAGCCTGACTGTATTGGACATCTTGAACGTGCCGCCAGAGATAGGTATTTCGAAATGAACTTCCTTTTTATTGCCCGTACTCTCTTCAGCATTAGCACCATGATTATCATCGGCACTGATCAAAATGAAAATCTTTTCCACTTCCAATTGCCCGTACTTGTCTTTGACCAGTACCTTGGTACAATTTTCCAACCTGGTTCGTGAATGGGTGCATTTAAGATACCAATCCCGTTTCCAAAATAGAACTAGGCCCAGAGTTCCAAGCGTCAAAATTATGGCTACCCATAGTGCCAGAAGTTTGATGGGATTAAGTACGTAACCCTTGATTTCGATGTCCGAATTTTCGATAGGAATAAAATTTTCGTGTTGTTTTATATCATTTTTGAAAATTTTATTCGTAATCATATTCCGATTTAAAGAATTTTTTTTGGTATGAGATGAATGAATTTAAAAATATTTGTTGCACTCTAATATTTGTAATTTAATTGCTGATGGCTATACTGGAAAAGGCGTGCAGCAGCCAATCCAATCTTTAAAATATAAACAATTGATCGTTAATATGTGACTAACATATTTTTAAATTTAATTATTATAATTATCAGAGACCTGCCGAAGAACCATTTCCAAGGTCTGGCCCGGATTTTTTTTTAAAAAAATTTTTCGGCTCGGTCCGGATTATTTTAAAATATAATTTTATTTATTTTTAATTTTTATAGCTAATAATGGCGATTTAAAATATTTTATTTTAAAATATTCGGCCAGCCAGGGTATATTTAAAAATAATTAAAATATGGCCAGGTCCGTGTACCCAGGCTGCAGGTCTAAGATTATTATAAATACGCCTAATTTGATTTTTATTTGAAATTATGGTTTTATTTTAAAAAAATTTATACCTTTTATATTTCTAATGAAGAAATAAATATACATTTTTTATTATATTAATTAGAGAGGAAAAAAAATGGATATTTGGTATATTAAATTAAACAATCATGTTATAGTTTGTGTCATAGCTTTTTTGATAGCCCCCATATCCATTTTAATAATATAGTTAAACATATGTTAAAAAACAGTGTTTTTTTTAAAAAAAGAATTAATTATCATTTTCTAAGGTGGGTGGCATCCCTATGTACTCCACTCGGATACATCTATCAGATAGAAAGGCGGAAACCATGTTTAATAAAAAAAAGTCACAATACATGAAAAAGGACATATAGTGACTTTAAAAAACTAAAAAAGAAAAGATAGAATATATCAAATTGCGTATATGTTATTTTAAATTTTTTAAAAAAAATCATCAATTGGGACAAAGCAGTCCTGGCTCGCTATGGCCCGTCCTGAGGACTCAGTTCGAAAAATGACCATCTCCCTCTCCTATGCGATAAAAAGACTTTGTAATAAATATGGTATGGTAATTATCTGACGATATAAATTTTTAAAATTTTTGATAAAAATAGAGGTTTAAGAAAACATATTATGTTAAGAAAATAGAAGGATTAAGAGGTTGAGGCCAAATAATTATTCTAAAGAAATGGTGTTATCATAGATCAGAATAATTATAAAAATTACATTAAAAAAAAATATTATATTACCTATATAGCCAAATTCAATCAAATATATTTTAAGAATAAAAATATGTAACAATCACTTAAAATCGAGGAATTTTTTTGGAAACGAAAATAAAAAGAATGACAGGTGATATCAATAATTGATAATTGTCAAATCGAGACTATTAACAGGTTTATAGATCGCGGTTTATAAGAATAAATAGCGAGGATTTTTTTGCTAATATTGATTTAAAATTTCTTTTTTTGCTAATTTGTTCTATTTTTTGCAAATTTGGATTCATTTTATCACAATTATTTCCTGTTTTTTGATTAGTTTGGATTCTTTTTTCTGCTAGTCAGTACATTTTTTTGACGAGAAAAGGAAGGGGGTAATAATATTGCCATTTGCCTAGGGGATGTAAAAGTGCCTATATATATACTTTAATATAATTCCTTTAACACCTGAAAATTAAAATTTCTTCTCCCAGGCTTAAAGTAAAAAATTCTAAATCTATATAAGATTCAATAATTTAGCTAAATTTCTCATTAGATCACCCTAAACCTGTCATTCATAAAATTTAATATCAAAGAAATTGTCTACAATTACATTTATCATTAAATTAAGTATATATATTAATCCCACTCGCCCATATTAAACCTTTACTAATATTTAGTCTAGCCAGTTGTTCTAAAGTTGAAAACAATATCATTAGTTTAGGTGCTTATGGGCAAAGTTTTCAAATAAATTTCTATATTACGAAGAGAGTCTTAACATGGATTATATGAATAATTAAGAACTTTATTGCTTATTTTTCCAGATTTTGGTATCACAACGCTCTTAATTTAACATTTGATATCACAATATAGATGATAACCTTCAAGATCGTCATAAATCTCTTACATAGTTACAATACAACTGTATAATATCTTAATGCAACTATCATTTTTTTTAAATATGTAATTATAGTTTAAAAATCTTTCTTTTAAGCGATAATTCAAAAAAAATATAAATTAATGGTATAAAAATATCGATAAAAATTTAATCCCACAAATATTTTACCCTTATCCTAGAAATTTTAAAATATTTTGTCAAATGAATGATCAGCATTACCTCCAATATGTAAAATTTCAGACATTTTTAGCTCGTTTTATACCTCCTTCCATTCCAGATCTTGCTAGTTTAATGAAGTTGATAGAATTGAACTGGTTTGGCATCTATTGATTTACTAATGTTGATAACGATTGATGCATAACAGTCAATAACTATTTTTTAGACAGAATATTTGAGTATTTATTTTTAAGTGTTGGAAATTCAGAAAGAGAAATTGTTTTTCCAATATTTAACGGCATGAATCCAATCCAATAGTGTTATGAAATTCATAACGTAAACCAGTTTAAAATTTTGTTTGTCATCCTAAGTTGTACTAAAACTTCTAAAAAGGTATGTTAATAGGTTTGAACCTTTTGATATTTAGTCTTCTTAAATAGCTCGATTTTAAAATACGGCAACCAATATTTTTAGAAAATATTATGCAGGCCTGGATTTTTTGTTTATAGATAGCAGAAAGGTTTCGACATCTATTAAAGAAATATGGACGGCTGCATAATTTTATTTTGGCTAAAATCTTAATTTAAAATTAGCAAAATCGAGCCGGTTAGCACTGATTCTAGAGCATATAATAGAAATCTTTTCAACACACCCCATTTTAAAGATTTTAAGAAAATCGTATCTAAAACAAAAGTGCGAATTGTTTATACATTTTAAAATGCTGTGTAATTTATAAGTGGGCTCATTTATTGTTTAATTTTTATTTTATGCTTTATCAAAGTTTGACCAGAAATAAACACGCGGCACCAAATTTAGGGGAGAGAACCACTTTTAAAAATATTAGAAATCAGAATTAAAACCCAATTTTTTTTTGTCCAGCATCCTAAACTGATTTTATTATTTTTAAGGAACCGACTATAATCCGTTATTTTTTACTTAGCCTCCAATTATTCACAACCGTTTAAATCCTTGCTAAGATACAATAAATTGAAAAGAATGCTAATGGTGTCTTATTTTGACAAGCTATACTAACCAATTTGATATTCTGACTATAGATTTGATTAGGGATGAAACAGTTGGATTAACTGATCCGACAGGCAGAATAAATGGTACGGGCCTCTGTATATGAATTATTGAGAATTAATTTTGCATATTCCAGTTTTACATTATATACTGTTTAAATTTTTTTTGTTAATTAGCCCTATTTTAAAAATATTTACACTTTTCTATATTTTTTATTATCTCTAATCGAAAATTTTCTATTAAGGCTGTGATCTAAATATCAAAAAATAAATTTAATGACTTTAACGGAAAATGAGAAAAAGCTATTATATATTTTAATTAATATAATTTAATAAAAGCTCAAAATTTAATTGCACCCTGTAGATTTGAGAAAATTTTTTCCAAGAACTTTTGAGTTAATCTTTCTTCATATAAATTACAAAAAATAAAGAAAAATATGACAAAGGTATCTGAAATTAATAGAATAAATGTTAGAATTCATTTATTTTGGCTAAAATAAGTATTTTCTACCTAGTCCTAGTTTAGTAAACTAATTCATTCGTATGTCCCATTTAAAACGAAATTTACACCTAACCCATGTATTCATTTAAAAATATTATATGTAATATTAGTTAGCGAAAATTAGTTACTATTAGTTATGCGACTGGAGAGCTTACGCTTAATAATATTAATACGTATTCGTTGGCTAAATATGTAACTAATTTAGTCGAGCTAATACGAGGTATTCAAAAATAAAAATCAACCTCAGTAAATGTTTTAAAATTGAGAGATTTAGGCTTGTCACGTGATTATTCCTAATTGATTCTTATTTAACATACCAACACTTATACTTTACATAAAAAAGGCAACGATTTAAAAAAAATTCCTATTCCTTCATAAAAAAAAATTCTTTTATATAACGCTCAACAAACAAATTATCCTCAAATAATACAATTATAGTAGGAAGTAGAGCAAAAGGCGCTTAAATTTATCGGCCATCAGGAAAAGAGAACATGAGACTGTGCCCTGTGGCTCTATTTTTCAGACTTATATCTGTTTAGATATCTATTCAGATTTTGAACTGACACCCTATTCCGTTTTGTTTGTGCGTGTACTGAATCTAACTAGCCCCTTTCTTTCTATTTTGTCTAGAGATGAATAGACGGTTAAGCAGAATTTTTGTTGGGAAATATGAAGAACGAGTCACAGGACATGGCTTAAGTAACATAATAAAATATATAATCAAGACATCATCGATCGCAAAATACACATTTATTATGAGAAAAATGAGAAAATTTTCGATAAAAAAAAATACAATTTTAAATAAGAATTCGTCGTTTTATTATATATATAAAATAATATAAGTAAAAGGCCCATACATACATAATGTTAAAATGCAAATAAAAATTAATACTCATAAAATACCAGGCATTTGATTCCCATTTATTTTTTTCATAAAATGAAAATCGGCGAAAATAGTAGTAACCAGATTATAAACTTGCATGATAAATGTCATTAAATTAAATACAGCGTGATGCGAGGTAAAATATTTTGTAAAAAATAAAAACAAAAATGCATCTTATATTTAATTTGGAAAAAAAGAATTTATAAATAGGAATTGAAAGTAAAAAAAAAATGCCCCTTTCTATATTTAATAATTGACTAAGAAAAAAATAATCAAATTTCACATATTTTGCCCAGTGCAATATTCCCGGGAAAAACTAGAAAATGTAAGGTATTTCAATGGTCTGTTAGGTTTTAAGAGTATACTACGGTTCCTTAAGTATCCAGCTAACCATTTATCGAGTAAAATGCGCTCAAAAAACATAGATACCACAAAATTGCATAGCGCCAAAGTTAGGTAGAAAAGAGAGGGAAAAATAATGGGCGGGTATTTCAGCTTAAAAAACCGACCCAATAATAAATGGGAATATGGTTTTCCAAGGGTGATATACACCCAGAATACAACGAGTAAGACGGTTATAGTTAAGAGAGGGAGATTGGTGTAATAAGGTCTCCTGAAGGGTAAACCCTTAGAAAAAACAACAGTAAATGTGAGGTATTGAAAGAAGGATAATATAAAAACTGCAGCAACGGCGTGACTGTAATAGGGGTTTTTGTGATCAATCTCAGGCTCTGTAGCCTTAAGACACCATGGTTGTCTAAGAGTGTAGGTCAAGACGACGGCTAAGAAGAGAGAATTTATAAATATGTGACCCAATACCGAACCCAAATGGCGAGCCTGCGCCAGAGAGGTATCAGGCTTGAATTTATTAAAGTCTCCGCCTTTGTTGTAGTTCTTGCATCGGCGTTTTTCTTTATAATAGTCTATGTGGCTTAATTTAACGGAGGCCATATTTTTCAAATCTCCATTAGCGTTATCAGTTAAATTTAGCCTTTGATTTATGAGAAAATGACGATGTGTCTGATAGAGCCTGAACTGTAGGAAGTTGAGGATTCGCCTGGGTATAACCCATAAGCATGGTTAGCACGGTGGCGGGGAAAAAATCGGCGAACGCGAACTGAACGTCGCTGAAATTCGTTCCAAACCAATATAGGGAGAGCACGGCTACGAATTGGTTAAGACTATAACAAGCCATATTCTTAAAAACGCAGAAGGAGGTAGCGAGGGATGCTCGGCCTTCCTTGATAATTCCTGGAACGCAAGATACGTTCCCGTGGGTTGCAGTGAAAGGTGCCGCCAAAGAGGCCGTGCCTACTGCACCTTCTTCCATCTTAGAGGCATCATCGTTAGGGGTTGAGCACCTAAAGGCCCGTTTTACACGGTGCCGTAAAGTAATTTTCCCATTATTATTGCCAACAACGTTACCTTCAATATCTATATCTTTCTTTGTCGACTTGTCATCATTTTTATCGCTAATGACCTCTTCAGGTTGAGAGTCAGACACGGCCATAGAGATTCCCATGTGAGCGGCCTTGAGGGCGCCGCAGTCATTGGCTCCATCGCCACACATACCAACATAGTAGTCCAAGCGTTGGTACCTCAGCACTAGACGCGTCTTGCATTCTGGCGTCATACGAGCGAACACACAACAACCATCCACCAAGAGTCGGTCCAACAAGTCCGGTTGGAATTCAAACGGCATTATATGACCAGGTGAAGTGGGATCAATTTTTTTTAAAGTAGGTATTAGGTCATCATTACAGAAAGGTAGAGATATTCCGTTAGAGGTATATGGGGAATTGAGTAGAATGTCAGAAGAAGTGTTATCTGGAATTATATTACTAATATCGTCGAGATGGGCACCTTTACGTTTAATATTATTATTGTTAACATCTTTGCTATGGACATAACCATGATTTTCGTTTCCGCATTTAAAATTATCAAGTGCGTCACAATTTACAATGGATCGGTGTATAATAAACTCGTTAGAATTCTTTAGATAACCATTTTTGTGTCCTAAAGTGTTTTTCAACGTGATTTTTATTTGATGCCGTGTTTTACCATCATAAAAATTTTCGAGCGTTTCAAAGGTCGGGCCAGTCATTGCGTAAACGATATGATTACTGTTAAAGTCATTTAGAAATTCGATATTCTCACCGGATATAATGGATTTTATGGTTGGACTAGAAATAGGTTCATAGGCGGGGTGGTTCACGAATACGTTTCCCTGAGTTCCATCTTCCTTGAGCATATTTAAAGGGCACTTCGTATCGGCGCGATCATTAAAAAAACCGTTACAACGATGATCGTAAGCATCGGTGATGTAAATTTTGCTACTGCGGCTGAATGTGGTTAGGAAGTTACGTACACGGTTGTAAAATGTGTGCGGATCGAAAAAAAGAAGCGATTTTTGATTGGTGGGAAGCGAAGATAGGTTTGATAAGGTCTTGTTTTCGTTCATGTCCGAAGTCATTTTGGAGGCACTAAAACATTCAAAATATTTCCATAATTTTTCAAAACCAAATAGAGATGCGTTGTAAATCGGGATCTAAACATTTGTTGGTAGTTGTACTGGATGAGCCATCGGATAACTCAGTGAAGTTCGAATCTGCATTAAATTCATGTGGGAAGAATCAAAGGTTTAAATTTATCATTTTAAAAAATATATATAATGAGAATGGTAAGGTGGGTGAGGGATTCAACTTTCTTTTTTAAACCGTTATATTTGTTATATATCACTCATAATCTACAAAATATTCAATAAAAATGTATGATGAAACATTGGCGAAATATATTCGGCGTTAGCGACCATTTAAAAACAAAAAGATTGCTTTTTTCAATATATGCGAATTTATAGTAAACGCAAAAGCTTTTGTGCGTACTATAAAACACTGCAAATATAAAAAAAAATAAACTAGAAAATGATGCCTTTTCGCTTTTCTTATTAAAAAATAATAATAATTTCTATTTAAAATTTTTCTAAAATTTAAGGGACAATGTATAATTAGAGATTTTTATTTTGTCGAACTTGAAAAAAAAATATGTTAAAATTTTGAATCGGGAGAGTGTAACATTGCATAAGTACTCTCCCTCGGAAAAAAAGTATATTAGTAGTGTATTTTTTAAAAAATTTTTAAGTCATTTAGCCCCATCAAAATGTTAACCTAAGTTAACACTCTTAAAATATAAAATTTACGATAAAAACGTCACTTACTAACGTGTATTGATTTCTATTATTTATTTACAAGACTATTTTTAAAAATAAAAAAAATTCAAAATGGTAGATTTGATTTAAAAAAAGGAATACTTGCTTTATTATCATTATAAATCTATCTTATTCAAAAGAATCATAGGAATAAATTGGAAAACTGGTAAAAGTAATATTAATTGTAATATTACAAAAAATATAGGCCCGGCCCCATGACCTGAAAAATATTGATATTACAGTTCCTTCTTATCATTGAAAAACGAAAGCAATCCCCGAATTTTAGGTAAAAATTGATGAAATGGCATCAGACATGGTTGACAAAAGATGAGGAAACAGTATGGTTTACCAGCTGCCGTTAAAGAAGAGAGATCGAAAGGGAACGATTATAGGTAAATGGTTCAATTGGGATAGTAGTTTTGGCTATACTGAGAGTAAAGGTAAAATTTCCACAATTAATTTTTTTTTGTAAATTTTGCCTATGTAATATAAATTTGTGGTTTAATTTAAGAGGCCAAAATAATAAAATACTGCGAAAAATGAACGAGAAGATATGCCGGTTAATAGATATTTTTAGATAGAATTTGATGAAAAGATCTTTAGACATTTGGACAAAAGAATAGGATCAATCGTTAAAGATTTATAAGCTGTTCGTTAGAAGCAACACGTGGTTCGAAAAAGCTTAAATTAATCGTTAAAGGTTTACAAGCTGTTACTACGTACATATGGTTGAAAAAAGCTAGAATCAATTGTTAATAAGCAATCATTTGAACAACTTAACAAAGGAATATAATAGTTTAATAGTAATCGTTAGGAGTTTCCCAGGAAAAAAGACTAAGATAAAGTCATTAATCGTTTACAAGCAGTAGTTTAACAAAAGATGAGATGTATCTTAGGGCATACAAATTGTCATGAGATAAGGGAAACAGTAGAATCGATATTTATGTCCGCTATCGTAGAAGGAACAAAAGAGAAATCGTTGGGAGTGATCTTTACAAGCCATAAATGGTTAACCAAATGGAGATGGATCGTTAATTCTATATAAGCAGTGTAATAATAAAACTTAAGAAGACAAATTGTTAATGGTGCATACCAGGTCAATTAAGGAGAGAAGGTTAAAATGAAGATATCGGAGTAGTGGTTCTAGTCTAAAATAAGGAAAAAGGTATTGCAATAGTTATAAAATAATTTGAATATTTGGGTGTGGTGGAAATTTCGTAAATCTTATTTAGTAATTTGAATATTTATTTTATTATAATATTAAATTCGATAATATATTATCTACTAAAGTTAACTTTTGGTTAATAAATTCTTAATATTAATTTATACTTTTACATTTAATTCTTTTTAAAAAAAATAAAATGTGCTCTCTTTTGTAATTAACTTTTTTTTATATTTATATTTATATTAATAACTTAAAAAATTTTTTTTAAAATATTTTTGCATTTTTGGTATTTGTTCTTTAAAAAAACTCAAAAAATTTCTGTTCAAAGCATAAATCAGGTTATAACCACTTCAATCTGGCTAACTGAATGCAGCTTATAGCATTTGCTATAAAACAATTTTAGAAAACTTTATTCCATTTGCCAGAAAATTATTAGATAAAAATTTTTTGTTTGAGATCTATGTCTTGGATCGATTCCCTTCAGCTTTCTCAGCGTCCTGAGATATCCCATCTTACCACACACGGATAAATATTCAAATTGCTATTTTAAAAAATTTTTTAAACCATTTGTAGTTAGGATTTTGGTGACCAGGGATTTAGGAGTCAACGTGATATGCAATAAGGGACACGCGTTATTTTGGGAACCATCCGATATGACAGAACTTGTAGCATCCACTATATAAACACGTTTAGAGTTTATCGGTATTAAATGACATTCTTTGGCGACTGATAAAGCGGTGAGTATATTGTCGCCCGTGACCATGACAGTTCTAAGGCCAGCTTGGTTCAATACATCCAGTGTAGGTGTTGATTGTGGTTTGAGCTTGTTTTGAAATATCAGGAAGCCAATAAACGTCATATCTTTTTCTATCTACAAAATTATAATTTAAAAAAAATAATATAGAGTAATTATAAAATATTTTCAAGTACTCTCACCCGGCCACATATAACTTAAAAAAAGCTAAAAGCGAGAAAAGTTATAACTAAAAAAAGATGCTAAATCAATTCCAATCACGTTTTAATTATAATACATTCCAATCCTATAAAATAAATATAAATACCTGAGTTCTAGAGCACTTTTTAACGCCAGTTAGCTTAAAGTGGTGCAGAGTTTTGTGGGCGCAAGCTATAACCCTATACCCACAATTAGTCAGGGCATCGAGCTCTTCTTCGAAATTGTTTGGTATACTCGTTTCAAGGCACAAAGATCTAATTATCTCGGGTGCCCCCTTGCAGTACAACTCGAAATGATGACCTAATAAGCGTCTAGCTACTACGCTCATCCTCTGTAAGGAGGGAAGGAAGGGATAAGTGTGGATTACACCGTACTGATATCTGGCACTAGGATCGGCAAGCAAAAGTTCGGCTATCTCTGGATCCTCCTTTCTTGACACATCCTCATCCAGACAATCTAAACGTAAGGAAGCTTGCAGAGGTGGAGTGAAAACTGCTCTGACCAATAAGCTGTCGTTATCATTGGTAGTGTTATTATTTGAAAAATCGAAAAAACGGGTGGCTTTACGGTGATAATAAAGCAGCTGTTGGTCTGACATGGACCAACCGGAGAAGATAAACATTTTGATCTCTAACGGATCTCCCACAAGCTTCTCGCCAATTATGGCCAATGAATGGCATACAGCGCAGCATGCCGACAGTTCGTTGCTTGTTGTTGAGGAAGTAATCATGGTACCCAATTCGGATTTTCTAGGTGAATCGAGGTTCTTTGAGTATAGAGACCAAGGGTGCCCAGGTTCCCTAATTATGTGAGGGGCGAAAGCGCGTTTATCGGGAGAGCTATTTGTCGACTTTAATATGATTAAATTTTTTTAATTTTCTTTAAATTTGTAACAAAAAATATTTGACTAATTAATTTCGTTAAAAAAAATATAAGGTTGTTAATTATTATTGAGATTATCTTTTTATATTAGTTATATTTTTAAAATAATAAGAAATTCCTATAACATATTCTAAAATATTTAAATAAATGTCATTATATATAGTGTGTTAGTATAATTCATTCCAAAAATCAAACATGATTATCCTCCATCTCAAGCTCCTCTTCTTCTTTATCGATCACAAGTGGATGAACTCCCAAAATATCGAGTCCGTCTTCCGTCAGGGTCCCAGTTTTATCGAAACAGAGAATATCTACAGCTCCGGATACGTTAATCTTGTCAGGGCTGAGAGAGAGAACTCCGTAAAGCCGTTTCAGCCTTTTCTGGGCAAAAATGAGTCCGGCAGTCATGGCGGCGGGTAAAGCGGGTGGGATGACTATAGCCACCAGATCGAGTGACCTTATGATGATTTGCCTGGCGGGAACTTTTTGAATGACCTTCAGGGTAACCGAGTAGCAAAGACCAGCCAGGGCGAGTCCGAAAAGGGCTGAAACAAATTTGTAACTGTCCTGATCGAAACGGAACACGCTTGGAGCCGGGTACAAGAAATCAGTTACCATTTTGCCCTTGACGGTGCCGAATCCAGTGGATATCACGTAAGCCCTTATGGCTTCGTTTTCGGGGATATTATTGTTATCTTTGTTAGTATCACCAGAACAGTTATCGAGTTCGTTTTCGTTAAATCCTTCATAGTTTCTTTTTTTTGTTGTTTTATATATTTAAAAAAAAAAAAAATAAAAGTTCGGGTTCGTTTTCATTAAATTCTTCGTAGTTTCTTTTTTCCGTTTTTTTTATATATTTTCTTTTAAACATAAATAAAAGGCTAATTTAAAGCGAGAAAATATCGGTGTGGCTAAAAAATTTTCAAAAATTTTCACGGGGCGGTTTGGGAAGGGCCGACCTCCTTGGCCATATTGCATCCATGCTTTAGGTTAAGTTTAAATAATGATGCCGAATAAAGACAATATAAACAATTCAAAATTTTATTAATATCTGCAGCAATAGAACTAGATATTTAACACGTAAAAAAAAGGATCCATTCGAAAAATAAATTAGAATAATTTAGTTTTACCAAAACAAATAAAATGATTTTTATGGCTTATTTACACTTTGCTCACGATACTCCTTAACTATATGATCACTGGCGGCTAAGAAAAAAATAAAAGAGTAGAAAAGTTACTATAATAAAGATTAATATTAAATTTAAAATATCCATTTATAAAGGGAGTTGCAGTTGTAGAAAATTGAATTAAAAAATTATAAATTTTTTTGTAATGGGTAATTAGAAGTTTGTAGTTATAACCCCTTTTTGAAATATAATTATTTGTTAGTATTTTTTTATAAATTGCTCATTAAAAATTTCAATCGTAATATTTAAAATAACTTATTAAAACACTCTAAAATTAAAATATATTTATATAAAAATATAATTTCATAACTATGTTCCCAAAAAGGAACCATAATTATATGTAAAAATTTATATATAAATTTTTTTGGTTTTTAGTTTACACTAAAATATATGTTTAATGGTATATATAAAAAAAATTATGTATAAAATTTCTAGCAAAATATATTTAGCTTGAAATGATTTTATTGAACTCCTCTTCACTTCTAAAGTGAGATTTTAAAAAAATTTTCATATAGTGTACAAATAAAATTCAAAATAAACATAATATATTACTTCATGTTAAATAACATTATTTTTTCAAAATAAACATAATATATTACGTCATATTAAATAACATTATTTTTTAAATGACGTTCTACCATATAAATTAACCAGAGGGCAAAAATAGATAATAATACTTACTAATATTTTTTTTTAAATTGAATATGAATCACTTGAATAGTTACATCCAGGGGCTATACCTTTAATAAAAAATTCCTCAAAAAATGATTAATAATTAATCATGATTGAAATCTACCATAATTTTATAAAATATTTTGGCGATTAGATTCATTTTGCAAAATGGGGTGGTATCATTTCCGTAAAAATATTTATTATATTTATTTAAAAAAGATTAAATTAAAAATGGCCACAAATTAATATAAATGGAAATTTGGCCATTTTTGTTCAATCATTCATTTCAAATCAAAAACACTGCGCATTATAATATCTTGTTATGCAAGCCATTTTAGGTTGGTTGCACACGTACGAATCTAGGAATAGGATCGACGCTGATTATCGGCTATTTTAACAATAGGCCGATTCCTTAATTATGAACCATTCTCATTTCTAATCTCATTCAATTATACGAGATGGAGTGTGATTCTTTTGACTCCAGCTCAAGAATTGGCAAGTTGGGTAGCAAAAACCTTGGGCACTGGAAATCTAAAAGAGCTAAAACCCCTCCTATAAAATTTTTAAGAAGTGGAGCCCATCAAAATTTCCAAGAACCGGAAACGATTCTAATAAAAGTGTGCAACTAAATTTATTCGGTTAAATTTTAATTAGGTATGATCAACATTTATAGAGGAATTTATTTAAATATTTTGACGTTGGTTATTAGCATAGTTTGGAAGCAAGAAAAACTCTGAACCCTCGGAAACCGCGGAAGCCAAAACTCTTACTTTTTAGAACCAACGCTTGTCTCCGGTCCACGTCAGAATTTGCTTTAAAATCTAAGTGCTAAGTAAATAAAGATAGATTTATTTATATCCCCTAACTTGATTTGCAAGATTCGCGTTCCGTTATAGATGATATGTCGAGCCAAACTAACGTCCTGCCTTAGATAGAGTAGTCCTCCCTCGTCGGCCATTTCCCCGAAATCTCCTTCTTTTTCGGATTCACGTCTTCCGCCTTTTTTTCTCCATTCATCATTTTCGCGGTTTAGGGTTTTGCTATCTTTAGTTTCGCTGTCAACACGTATAGGGGTTTTGGTAACGGGTACGCTCTCGCCCGTTAACATGCACTCGTCCACTATGCAGGAGCCGTTGAGCAGAACCGCATCGCACGGAATGGAAAAACCCCGACCGGTCATGCAGGCTCTAGACCCTATTCTAATAACATCGCCCGGAACTAAATCGACTGTAGGAATAGTGGTCAGACCTAAATAGCCCGAGTCTGAATAAAGTTCGATTTGAATGGTGTGGGAGATAGCAGTGGGGGTCTATTAAGGGGTGATAATGAATAAAATAAAGGATATATATGATAATATTCATTTTAATCTTTCCATTTAAATATTATTAAGCATAGTCAATCCGAATAAAATAAATTGGAAAACCATGAAAGGGGTATGTTTAAAGCTATAGTTACTTTTGATAAGTAGCTAATTTTGTTAATAAGTTACTTTATCCAAAGGGTAACTCCTGGAAATTCTTTAAAAAAAATAACTTTTTAATCCTTGAGCATAAAGAAAGTAAATTTTGTGTAAAGACTTATTTTTACATATAACCTCTTACTTATATTCATATTTTAGGAAATGTCATAAATTATAAAAATTATTCCAGTAATTTTTTACTTTTAGCAAAATCTATAACGCAATAATTTATAATTTATGTACATATGTTCCTTTAAAGTCTTAGGTATAAAACAAAAGTTATAATGAATGTTTATAGTTATACTACAAGGATAGCAATAAGGATCAGTTTAGAAGGGTAAAGTGACTATGGGCAATACGGTTTAAAATGGTTAGTTTTGAAAAGCTGAAAAAAATAAAAATTTGGATTTTAACGCCATTAGGAAAAAAGGAACATCAGAAAATTTGGAAAATATTTAAAATGTTTGTGCTCCAAATTGGGCGCATTCGAAATATGTAAATTTTCTACATGATCTTATTGAATAATTGTTCGGTTTATAAATATAAAAAAAAGAAGAATAAATGCCAAAATTATATTATATTTTTTGGTAATACAATTTTAATTTAACCATTTTACCACGGTGTTTCTTACCCTGGGTACGGTGTAAATTGGCGAAAATGCTCTTAAAGTATTTTTTAGGTAGAGAGCTATATCTTTTTTACTTTGTAGATGAGTAATTGTGCTAAACATTGATATAAAATCTGTTTTATTTTCCTCCTGATTTTAATTTATATAAAATAGGCCAAATCAAGCCGTTTAACAACATTATATACCACACTCAAATTATTCATTCATGTAGAGATGGTTAACCATATAAATGGGTGTTGATAACCTGACAGGTATCAAAAATTCCCAGAGTTTGCAACTAGAAAGTCCTGGACAATCGTTCCTATTTTATGTTTTAAAGCATTGTTTTCAACCCGGCCAAAGCGTAGTATCGTTAAAAAACCAGATTTTGGATCTTTTAAAAATCGACCCGAAGGCTTTTATACACTACCAAGGTTAGAAATTTCAACATATTTTCATTTTATTTAAAATCGATTAAGCAATAAGATTTTATGGGGGTTTTAAGAAGTTTGATCAATTTAAAGATGAACTAAAATATATCACAAAGCTGCTCATAACATTTTAAACAAAATTATAAAACACTCTCAGGAATCATTTATAGTAAACGTGTTATATTCAAGCATTGTGTTATTTACCGCTTTCAAAATCAGAGACAAATTTTTTAAAAAATACGTCGTAACATATGTTTTTCAAATTTTATCACAGCGTTGTCATAACGCTCCATATTGTTTATCTATTGCCTTGATTTTGTTAATAACGCAACGCTTTTACATTACGCGTTCACTATAAAGGAGGACTTAAAATAACTTCATAAAAATTCAAATTATTTTGTCATAGCTAATCACTATAATAATCCTTTAAAAAATTATCTAGAAATTTATCCGCGCCACGTTTTAATAACCGAGATTCTGGTTAAGCGATATGTGATTCCTGTCTAAATGATAGCATAACTGATATAATATAACATTTATGTATTTATTTTTTGTAAATCGACGCGATATCGCCCATTTTTTGTTATGCTATTTAATAAAATAATTATATTTAATCGATTTTAAGAAATAAATAACAAAAAAATATCAAAACAATATAATACCTGTTTTTCGATTAAATTAATTAGCGCAAGTCCAAAAAATAAATATTTACCTTTTTAGAAAAATTTTGATTTTCAATTATAGGCTAAAACAAACAAAATTATGTTAAACTTTAATTTAATTAATATAAAAATTGGAACAAGATGCAACATTCATTTTAAAAAAAATTAACGTGTTAAACTTTTACATTTTTTTTATTTAGCTTTTAATAAAAAACAAAATTTAATCAAAATAAAAAATAACATTTAGGCCATGTCCCGGTTTATCTGATTTTAGAAACCTCATACTGTTTAGACCGGTCTATAGATTTTGGGACTAGGACAGAGGACACCCTCATCTTCGTTTGTGTGTTACTAAATCTAAATGAACCACTTTCTTCTAAGTATGATTAGAGGATAAGAAGCTATATAGAGGGATAAACATTTCTGTTGTATAGAAAAGAAATATACCAATAAATGTGTTTTTTGATTTCGTTTAAATTTTTATTTATAAATAATAATTAATGACATGTGTCAAAGAGTCATGCGAATCCCCACCTAAATTTCCGGCCAGTTTTAAATCTATTATGGTAAAAGGAAAAATATGATTCTCATCCAAAATTTCTTGATGTCTCTTAAAACTATGCCCAAAATGACTCATTTTTTTAAAAAAAAAATTTTTGAAATTTTCTAAAATAATATTTTGGACATGTTTTTGTTTTTATATTTTAAAAAAAGAAATGATATTTCTTCTTTTTTCGAATCGAAATTTTCGATATGTTGAATAAAAATAAATAATCGGGTTTTTATTCCTCAATTTAACAAGATGAAATGAATTATAGGAGGCTTCGTTTTTTAAAAAAAATGGTTATGTATAAAGGGGCAAAAATTTAGGGAAGAATTATATCGAAAGGAAAAAAATATCGATTAATTTTTTTTATTATTTATAAAATATGATTTAAAGACTCTTCAACTCCACGAAATAAATAAAGTAATTTTCAACATCCTAATATTAGATTCATTTCTTTTCTACATCATCATCCCCAAAAGTCTAGATCTAGAGCGGCGATCACACTCGCTCAAACGCTAAGCCATTTTAGGGAAATGGACTATTTAAAAAAATATATATGTGGACTGAGTATTATAATGTTCTATATCATTTTTTATTATTTCAGGAGGAGCATTTTTAACGTATTTTAAATAGAAGATTAAACTATAATAATGCAAATATAGGATGGAGGAATAGATTAGTGACGAGCTATTAATAAAAAAAATGATTAAATTTTATTTAAATACCATTTTTTAATATATCATAACCCTAATTCGTACTTTAATTAACCCTAACCTTTAACCCTACTCGCCTGTTTAACTTTAAATATATTTAACCCAATTAAAAAAAATTCGGTTATCATCGGAATAAGAATTGATCGAAATTGCCAAAAATGTGTATAGAAAACACTATAATACTCAGCTGACGATATATATATTATTTTTAAAATAAAGAGAATCAAAAACGGTCATTCTATAAAAACGGAAGTGGCAGCATTACGAGTTCAAAAAAATTAGCATAATTATATTTTAAAATAGTAAATTAAAATTTCTTTGGGAATACAAAGAATATAATCAATATTACATTGTTAATCAATATTCTTACAGTTTGACAGCGGAAGGCTGAAGAAACTTTAAACAATAAAGAGTTTAGAATGGTGAACTATAAACTAACTTTTTCAATCCAAATTTGGTGACATGTTTTATATAAAAAAAAGTTGAGTTGGGCAGTTATCTACAAACTTTTAAGTTCCAATAATAACACGTTATAAAACTCATACAATACATATAATGCTATGAAAGTAATGGGCAAATTTTCCTGTATTTGTAAAGTACACGAATCGAAATTCTTCATTTCATTATACTTAATAGATATACGTTTTATGCTTAAAAGGTATAGGTTTTCACTTGTAAAAAAAATATAGAAAAGTGATGGAAACATAGCCAATATAGGATATTATGTTCGCTACTTTTGAGCGTATTAACAATAAAAAATTTTTTTTAAAAAAATAACAATAATGAAAAGGAAAATTTTTCTTCAACCGAAGCTAAATTTAGAGGAAAAAAAAGTATATATTTAAGTCGGTTTTCATTCTAAAGATATAAAATTTTATAAATAAATACTATTTTTTTCCTAATTTAAACTGGCTATAACGCGCTACATTTTTTTGAAGTAGCGTTTAAAATGTCGGGCGTTAAGTGTTGTTAAACGGCTCGATTGGAGCGGAATTTTAAAAACGGTCAGCTCGATATTTTAACCAAATTTAAATTTAAGACAATGACATATAATAATACTTAGACTGACGATGCATTCATAATAATGCATTTAAAATCATCGTTGAATGCAAATCAGCTGGACCCGCCATTTTGGTAACCCATATTGTAATTATTCTCATGCCAAAAAACTATTGATAACTTGCTTCCTTATTATCTCGATGATTAGGCGATTCCTTTAATAAAGTTTGCGCCAGACATAGGAATAAGGCCTCTCGTTTATAATAATGATATGGGCAATCAAAATGGCTACCCAGCTGTTTAGATTGATGTACACTTTTAATGAATGCATCGTCAGTCTAGGAATTATTTTATGTCATTGATTTAAGAAGGCTTCATTTTCATTTTATTCTCTTCCCATGAAAATAACTGACGTAATTGTCTATTGTCAATATATATGCAAATAATTGACGTAATTGTCTCTTGTCAATATATCTAAGTGGAGTATAATAAATATCGATTTTTATTACTTCTCATTTTAAAACAGGATAAAATTTTGAATAACTATAGTTTAAATATTTGTCCAGAGCTTTGGAACGTTCCGGAACGTTATCGGCAAATAAAAAAATTTTTTGAAAGAAATTGGAAAGGAAAGGAATGTGAACATATTTGACAGAACTGGAAGAATGTTTTAAATATGCAAATTTCAAAAGTCATTTTAATCAATTAACCTTATCGCGAGATTCTTGATCCTTAAGATTTTGCGTTGCGTTGGTTGATAGATTGCGACTCAATTTTTCGCGGTCACGCTTGATATCCCGTGTAGATTTAATCAGTGTCAATAAGGATATTATCAAAATACAGGAGGCGTAAAAATAATAGTCGTCATTGTACCTATAAATGTAACGGGGTGGATAAATATGAGTTAATTACTATTTCATTGTCCAACAATTTAGATTGTCCTTAGAAAGGTACTGTCTTAGCAATAGCAAGTCATAAATTATTTATATTTAATTCTGGAGAGTATTCTATAAGAAGCTAGGACACCCTTTATGACTTTTTTATTTTATATATAGGTTTTGCACCTTTAAAGTACACTAAAGACTGTCTAAAACTTTCATAAATTTAAGCCAATGCCAAAGATTTGAAACTCACACAAAAAATATGCTATCCAAGTTTTAAATGTTCTATTTTTTTTTTTTAAAAAAGGGGGTTTTTAGAATTAAATTTTTGCTATTTTCAACAATGCCTAATTATTTTTTAAGTCTAAAAATTACATTTTACTCAGACTAGAGGTCTGCCGGGTTATATCAGGCCTGCCAGACAATTTATCTATCCCCTTTTGTTTATCCCGCCAGCCTAACGTTTAACAACTATTTTATCTGTTGGTATGGCTCTCCATTTACTTTATTTTAATGTATTTTTTACTTAAGCTTATAAAATATAGAATATTATAAAATTTAAAAAAGATTTTTAATAAATAATAGTCTTGTTTTGTTGATATAGCCCGAAAAGTTTTAAAAATATATTTTAACCCGCCCACTCATCCATCCAATGTTTAAAATCTTATACCCGCCTGTAGAATGGACAGGCTAAAATCTGGCCTATTGAAAATCTATAATTCAGATACCTAATTAGAATTCTGAAGAAATACAATCTAGTAAGCAGGAGACATATAAAGCCCACCTTGGTAACATCGTCAATAAAATATAGGTACAGCCCGTGGTTCAAAAAATATCAGTTATATTTCCTTCCTATTCTCCATTTATTTTGTCTGATTAAATATCACAATTAAAAAATGAATTAAAAAATAAGAAAATTATATATATATTATTTTTTTAAAAAAAAAGAAAGGTCCTATTCATTATCATATATTTTTAAATAAATAAATTTAATAAAATAGATTAACATCATTAAATTTATTGCTGAATAATTAAATTATTGCATAACATTAAAATAGAGAATAAGATAAATATTATAGTTAGATTTTTCCCAATAAGCTTGTTAAAAATGATCTGCAGTTCTAGCTACGGTCTAGAACCATAGATGGCCCAAAAAATTTTGCTTTTGCAAGTCTCTATCTAACAAAACCAAATATTTTATAAAATATTCGTTTTCTTAATGATTTATGGATTGGGTGGAGTTATGGTATGAAGCAGGTTGGGGCAGTAACATGTATACTTGTATTTAAAGTACTAGATACAATTACTTTCTTATATTTAGTATTTATTTGAATATTTACCAAAGTATTTATTTATTAAATACTAAAAAAATGACAAGTATTTTGTATTTATTATGAATTCATAATTTTCAGACAAATAAAAAATAATATGTAATTTTACATTTAATTCATTAAATTTGATCTGAGTTAGAAAAATTTAACATTTTCCATTTTAAATCCAAATTTATTTTTGAAATGATTATTTTTTATAAATGTATTTGTATTAATACATTTTTTTTGAAAATTTGCCAACCCAGATTTGAAGTGGCTTATGTCCAAATTATTTTATAAAATAAATGATTCAATTCCCATATATAAGATTCAAAAGGCTTACTACAAAATATCATGTATTATATTATTAACTCATGATTTACTAAAAATATATATAACCTAATAAAATTAATCCTTATATTTAGCTTATTACTATGTCAATATATAATTATAATAATTTATATATTATTTGTACATTACCATAAGATAACACTAAAGGCTTGAAAGGCATAAAAAGGTGTCACCACTTCATCATACATAATTTTGAAAAAGTTGGGAACAGGTATATGCAAGTTGTTAGTACCAAATAACATTAGTCTCCTCTGTCTTTGCTTCTCATTCAAAGGTGGCCGTGGTCTAGAGTATATATTTTCAGACATCATTTTTCCTACACAATTCTGGTGATTTAAAATCTGTTCAGTCTTTTCCCTACTTTTTAACCTGTTTGAGTCTATGAAAGTGGTCAGATTAGCCAAAGAAAAGCCCTGGCATAGCCATTCCCCAATTATATCATAAAACATGCCCCGAGATGGGTCATATAGGTATACTATACGTTTGTCACAAAATAATCTGACCATATCGGAGAACTTGAACATGCCACCAGGAACAGGTATTTCAAAATGGTTTTCCTTATCTTTAACAATTATTTCATTTTTGTCATCACCATTTCTGTTGGTAAAAATGAAAATATTTTCCACCTCCATTTGCCCATACTTGTCTTTAACCAATATCTTTGTACAAGTTTCAAGACCAGCCCGTGAATGAGTACATTTAAGATACCAATCCCGTTTCCAAAATAAAACCAATCCTAGGGCTCCAAATGTCAAGATGATAGCTAACCATACTGCCAAAAGTTTGAAAGGATTAAGTCTATACCCCTTGATTTCAATGTCAGAATTTTCAATGGGGATAAAATTTTTGTGCTGCATATCATTTTTGGTGATAATGGTGTTAATATCATTTTTGAGAATATTTTTCATATCCCAAATTAGGATAAATATTTTAAAGAGGGGTTAATGGGTTGAAAATTATTATGCTAGTAATTGTAAATTATGATTGCGAATAATGTTCACCAATATAAGTTATGAGCTAAATGCTGTTATTGTAATTACATTCAATCTGTAGTTGGAATGTATTTGTGTAAATATAGGAAAAGGCATGCAGCCAATCTTAAAACATATTTAAACAATTAAAGTATGAATTTATTTGAAAATAGGCCTAGTCTATTAATTTTATTAAAGGTTTTGCACAAATATTTGACTTAATTCCATATAGAAAAAGTTTCTTTTGAACTATATCTATTATTTTTCATTTAAGGTCATGTTCAAATAATATATATAAATGGCCTTGAAATTAAGTATAATTATAATTTGTTGAATTGGATAATATTGATACTAGCCTAATGGTCCAAAATATTAAGACTTATGTAGTAATATTAAACTGAATAAATCAAAAATTAATAAATATTAAACACCATATAGGATAGGATTATTATTTTGTATTAATAAATCTATTTAAATTGTAAGTACTATATTGGCAATCTTTAATAAGTTTAATTAATAACCATATTATAAATATAAAATATAATTGTAACTCACATTAATAATTGAATATATTTTATATAAATACTACAAATAAATTGGTTAATTACCGTGATAGCGGGGTTGAAATATATTTTTTCGCGAACAAAAATATATTTCCAATCGGTAAAATCCAGATTTAACTGAAATTTAAATCATCTGTTAGCGCAAATTATGGCTACGCATGATAATTCAAACAATCAATCATCCTCATAGATGTCTTTAATTTAAATATTTTGTATTTTTTTAATTATTTTGTATCTTTTTAATTATTTTGTATCTTTTTAATTATTTTATTTTTAATTTCATATAATCCTATAATTTAAAAAATATATTAAAACTATGTAAAACAAAAAAATTTAAAAAATATATATTTCATATCTTATAGTCAAAGATGTCTTCAAAATAATACGATCTTATTATGCTTAGATCATTATACTTATAAATCTTTAATATCCATTTTTTAGCCTAATTTTTTTTTAAATACTCTCATTAAACCCCCCTTCGATATATATTCAACTATTACAAAATGCTGGTACTATTATGGAAGCATTAGTGATGTTAAAATGCCCGATTTGGGTTGATTTTTCAAAACGGCCCGATTAATATTTTAGCTATAATAAAATTATCTAAGCATCGAGAATTGGCAAATAGATATCCAATAATTTCTGCCAGCTATGAGCGAAATCTTTAGTCTTACATAATTTTATTTAGGTTATAATATTAATCGGGCCGTTTTAATAAATTGGGATTTTTAACAACACTAGGAAGCAATACCAAGTTGTAATCTAGGTATCTAATATCAAATGAACTATTAGGTGTTGCCATTGATCATCGAATTAGATTTCAACCACATATATGCAGAAAATGTAAAGTATTAGTTCCAAAGGGAGATGTGGTCTTAATTGTATAAATAGTCAAGGCAGATATGTAAATTCAGATATCGTTTTCTTACGAGGGTCCGAATACCAAACATCATGGAGCCTGTTAATTTATAGATCGTAAAATTTGAAGATCTTTTATTTTTTTAAAATTTTGTGTAACGATCTTCAAAGATCTTCGTGATATTTATTTTTTTACCCCTTTATTAAAAGCCCAGAGGTTTTTCAATTTTCATCAGGGCAAGAGGAGAGGTATAAAACATAAAAGAAATATTATATTAATAAAATTGAAAAACATCTGGGCTTTTAATAAAGGGGTAAAAAAATAAATATCATGAAGATCTTTGAAGATCGTTGATCGCAGCGATCTTCGAAGATCTAGATTTGAAGATCATTACACAAAATTTTTTAAAAATAAAAGATCTTCAAATTTTACGATCTTTTTATTTTGAGCAAATACTCTGGTTTATATAAAATATATTTTTATTAGTTTATATAAAATATATTTTTATTAGTTTATATAAAATATATTTTTATTAGTTTATATAAAATATATTTTTATTAGTTTATATAAAATATATTTTTATTAGTTTATATAAAATATAATAAATTACTTGTATATACTTTAATATAAAAGCATGGTAATGATTTATTTTTAACAAGTATAAGAAATTTATTTATAAAAAGTAAGTATTCATATAGCTGATATTCCTCTATTATATAGAATTAGTTACAAAATACTAGGTAAAATTCCACTTTTACAGACATATTTGACAGTTAGTGAATATATTACAGTTAATATTTTAACAAATTTTACTAATCAATGCTCTTGATAATTACCATCTATTTATTTTAAATAAAAAATGATATTAAAAATTAATTTTCATATTATTCATCCCACAATGTCTTTCAAAGATATTTTCTGATGTCCTTATCAATATTTTATAGTTTTCTGTAAAATATATAATTTACTTGATTGTTCAATGATAATTGATAAAATTAGATATACTGTAAATCTACGACATATAATATTCCACTATTTGTATTGTGCTTTAATTTTTTTATTTAATTTATGATTTAATTTTATCAATAGTTTTATAATTATATTTTACTTTTATTAAGATAAATAAATTAAAATTACTCACTTTATAAAAAATTATATTATATTATTTAGTAATTTTATGGAATTAATAATTATAACACATTTCACTTTTGTCTTAAGAATTATCTTTGGCTTATATTCCATTTCCTAAAAAGCATTTTTGGTTCACTTTTTTTATATATAAATGCTTTTTTTCCAAAAATGTATAAATTATGAATAGTTTTATAAAAAAATATCAACTTTTACATTCTTTCTTTCAAATTATTGTTTAAGATATATGCATACATTTTTGGGGGTCAAGAAGTGGGGGGGGGGGGCTAAGGGGGATATTTTTTATTAGCTTAAAATGAAATTCACAAATAGTGATAAATTTCTGAAGGGGGAGGGGGAATTCCCCCTTGCCCTCTCCCCTGGCGACGCCTATGTCCTATGCCTTGGTCTTTAGGTTAATCCTTAATTTGGAACTTCACATGCGTCTCTTCATTTCCAAAAAATGTAAATTCTGACCCTTTTGATAATAGCCGATAAAAAAATTAACTATTCGAAATTAACAAATTATATTTTTTTACCAATCGTTATATCTTCCCTTGGACATATTTCAAGCGTAATTTTAAAGTTTTTGAAAAATATAGAACACTTACATCAGTACCCTAAGAATATTATTTTTTAAAACAAAATATACAAATTACTATTTCAAAATATAATTATTCGTGTTTTTGGGATCTTGTAGTCCCTCCTCCGTTTTTATAAAATGAGTTTACATTATATTATAGTTTGATCGTAATATGTTTAGGTCTATTATAAATAAATAAAAAAATTTACCATTAAAAAAAATATCGAAATAAATAAAATAAAATGTTACCTCTTTTCTTCTTCCATTTTATTACGTATGCGTTTGACAAGATAAAAAAGTTTCTCGTGCCCTTCATAGGCGCTGGGAGAATAAGATGCCCTGTTCTTGTAAATATCATTGCGATTAAGCATCCCCCACATTTTCCCCCAAAAAATATATACAATATTTAATAAATGTAAAAAAACGAAAGATAAGAAAACTCTTAATGTATCTGAGAGAGGAAGATATTTTTTTATTTCTTTATAAATAAATCAAAATATAAAAAGTTTACAAAAATGATAAAATGATCTTTACAATTTCTTTTTGATGTATATATCAATCTGCTATTTCGAAATTAATACATCTGTTAAGATAAATCGTTTTATCGAATAAATACAATAAAATAAGCTACAAAACTCCACCCATTACTAAACCGAAGTGTTAGGGGTGATTGATAATACACAGAGTTGGGCAGTACCGCGAATACTTGTATCTAAGATACAAGATACAAGATCCTTTTGAATCTTGTACTCAGTATCTTTTTGGCATTATTAATAAGATACTAGTATCTTATCTAAGATCCTTTATTCTGAAAAGAATCTTGTATCTTTTTCATTTTCTTGACAAAAGATACAGATACAGATTCTTTTTAATATTCATGTTTAAAATTTTACATATCACAGTATATATCTTTTCTTCGAGAATCTTATATTAATTTCCTTAGTTTTTTTCACCATATTTTAAATATAATGTCAAAATTAGCTGGAAAATTTATAATTCATATTAAGGTAGATATAGTGTTGTTAAACCTCAAAAACCGCCAACTTAATATTTTAGCCAGAAAAATATTGCCTAAGCCTCGAGATTTCGTTAATGTATGCCTAGACCTTTGTTCCTTCTATGAGCAAAATCTCAGGCTTGCGTAAGATCTTTCTGTGTGAAATAATGAGTTAGCAGTTTTTAAAAATCGGCTCAAAACGAACCGTTTAATAACACTAGGTAGATAGATAAAAAATACCAGCACCAAAACGAAATAAAATAAGTAAAGATTATATTTTATATATAAATTTTATTCGATAGAGTATCATTACCAATTTTATGTAATATTTTTTTAATTTGTAGGATGATTAACACTCATGATAGTAAAATTTAAATTATGGAAATAAGTTCCCGTAAATCAAATCGAAATCTTAAAATTTTATATATAAATTTTTTTAAAATAAAAGTTAAAAAAGACAATGTACACGCTAGATGTAAAACCTGTATAAACAAAAAAAAAGGATAAATGGTTAAATAGAAATTTTGTTAAACATATTAAAGTATATTATTTATGTGTGGTTAAAAGGGGCATAAGTTATCTTAAATATTGAAGTTTATAATATTGCTACCTTTATTAAAAGCTGCCTAAAGTCGTATGAGAAATTGATTTTAAGAAAATATTTTTCTATGATTTGAATATAATAAGGTTTTTTTGACATCAATATCTCATCCAAATTTTAAGAACTTATGAATTGAGTCAGATGATAAAAACAAATACTTTCAAAATATATTAATAAAAAAGCCCTAAATATAGACCAGAGTATATAATCAAGCTCAAACTATAACACCGATACATTTAACGATTATTTTTCTTTTGGTGAAACAAATGTTCCTGTTCAATAATACAAAGAACATTGAACAGGCTTTAAATTATATTAAAGAAAGTTGAAATACATTATAAATGCTTAATTATTATCCTTTCATTAAGGAAATTTTTTATAAATATAATACTGCAATACCTTTATCTGCTCCAATTGAAAGGTAATTTAGTTTTGGCACAATGTTAAGTAGTCCAAAACGGCAAAGGTCTAATGATAAATTATTTGAAATTGATTATCTTATAAAATAATGAATCTATTAATATACTCTTTTGCAAATTAATATTTGAACTCCTATTAAAATACTTGTTCTCCCTTCCCTATCTATTCTAAGAATAGACTATTAATAATTAAATAACTCATCATTAAATATTTTATTAATTATTGCAAATACTCATTCTTGTTATATGCGTATGTTATGTTCTTCACAAATAAATAATAAAAACTGTATTTTATAAACTATTTTAATTTAATTGATAATGATAATTTAAAAGTATCTTGTATTTAAGATACTCTAATTAGGCAAAAGATACAAGTATCTTTTATCTTGTATCTTTTTGATATTTTGAAAAAGATACTAGTATCTGTATCTAAGATTCATTTTTTCACAAAGAATCTATATCTGTATCTAGATTCTTTTTTCGGAGGACCTGCCCAACTCTGATAATACATGATCAATAATATACAAAATATAAATACACATAAGGACATTTTCCATTTACTTCAAACTATATATT